GAAATATGTGTTTGAAAACGATAATCCTTACAAAAATCAAACATTACTCGTATTAAAAGTAAAAATATCTTAATTAAGAAAAAATACTCGTTTTTAAACGGTAATCTTTAATTAATCTCTCTATATTTAATTATGGTTATGGATAAACTGCTTATTTATTTACGCAAGAGATTACGCTTGTAAACATGTCTCTCTCTCTCTCTCTCTCCCCCTCCCTCTCTCCCTCCGCCTCTATCTCTCTATGTGTGTGTGTGCATATGAATTTTGGTATTACTTTTAAAACATGTCAAAAACAAAACTCTGTTAAAACATAATCGAGCATCGTCTAAAACACATATAAAGCAAACGTATATAAAACAAATGTACTGAATAACATAATGTATAATAATCGAATTAATTTAATTTATTTAAATTACCTTTTACGTGAAAAAAAATTATTGAAATATGTACATTCAAAATTATTCAAATATGTGTCATTCTATATTATCTATCGTATCTCATCCCGATTATATTCAATGAAGTATCGTAACAGCGTAACAGTGCGATATTTTCTCGCCTCAGAACCCTTTATATTTTCCCAGCGATAATTTTCTCGCTGTTTTTCGCGGTTGCGCTGCGCAATGTTCCTGTTGTCGGCATAGGTCTTTTCCAGGTCGCGAATTTCTTGTCTATCTCATTAACTTTGTAGGAAACGATGAAAATTTCGACTAAACCCGGCAACCCCTGGTTCTCGCCTCGACCAGCTCCACATGCTCGCCATCCACCTCCCTCCCCCCTCTGCCCACCCTTCCACGTGCCTTCCTCCTCCCAAGTAATCAATACTGTGAGGCGTCCTGCACGGGACAGGTACAATGCTGGTCCAGATTTTAGAACCGGAGGAGAGATCGGGGTGCAGCGTCAGAAGGAGCGGAGAAAACCCAGTTTACTTCACTTCGGAAGAGAACGGACGAGAGAATGGACTTTTTTCGATAGTTCGATAACTTTTTTCGACTCCATTTTTCTGCCATGGACAAATGCCGATACGAAACGATATCTTGATAAATATATGTCGAAAAGCCCCGCTAATTTTTTTACGCTATCTCTTTACCCACCACTAATCTCGATCGAAATGTCACGCAAGTTAAACAGTTAAAGGTTGTTAAAGTTTTTGCTAAAAAAAAATAGGATAACTAAATAGAAGAAAAAGATTGATGAAGAATAAAAGAAAGAATATGAGTATGTAGAAATATGTTTAATATAGGATATTTAAAGATTTAAAAAATTTATTAAAATATTAAATTTTTGTTAAAAAATATATTGAAATATATTCTTAACTTTATTTAAGTTTTTCAACTTTATACAATCCATTATTTAATATATAATTTACGTAGAGAATGTCACTATCCTCATGGATGTATTACATCCATGAGTATAGTACTTACATACGCAAACTATACACATGCACACATACCCGTAGAACAGATTCCTCTTTTTATTTCACGAAAAATGAAAATATTAAAAGCTTAAAATATATCATACCTTTTCCTCATTATCAGACAGTGTATCATATTGCACTTCCTTGTGTTCCTTTATCTCCATTTGAGTTTTTTCCATCCTTTGTCTAATATCATCAACTGACGTTTCTCCCGTAGCAATTATATGCTCTACCTTCTTAATCTGATTGTCCCTCTTTTTATTAAGTTCAGTTATCTGAGCCTCGATGTCCCTATTAATGAATTCCACCGTTTCGTTTGCTTTGCTCTGCAGTAACAAAAAACTTAATTAACTCTTCCGCGTGCCCGCGCGCACATATATGCACAGACAAATTTTTTGACGATAACATCCCATCCGTTTAACTTCGAAACGTAACATTTTGCGTATATTAAAAAATATATTTAATTACTTTTCGGATATAGTTTAAATATATATTTCTAAAATATTCTTCGTAATCTAGAATTCTAGAAGAATGAGCTAATTAATAAATTGCGATTACCTCAAAGTTGATTATTTTTTCTTCGAATCTGGTCGATGATGTCTCGAGATCCCCATTTATATTACCTAGTTCATCCTTCAAATCATTGACATGACTTGTCCAGCAGTCATCACAGAATCTCTATAAGAATATTAACATGTAACTGATTACATAAAATACATTTTATTATTCTCTACTCTATTTTACAAATACAACTAATCTTTTAATAAATTGATAGCCACAATTACACCCACGTTTAATATTTAATCTGGTAAAGGATTATTGTAATTTTACTGTATAATTATACAATCTTCGCGAGTGCATCATAATGCACTCGTGAAGACTGACAAATAAATTCAAGCTTCTTTATTCTCAAAATACAAAATTACAAAGATTATGTAAATATCTAAATACTCATGAACCGTACTTACGCGTTTACAGTGTTTACATTTGTTTATATACTCGCAAACTTCACCGCAGCTACGGCATATTTCGTCACGCATCTTTGGAGGTAAAGGCGCAAAGCTCACCGCACTTTTCGATTCTTTCTTTGCTATTGCAATTACTGCTACATTGCATACAGGGCAAATAGAGCTGCCATCTAAGATAGAAACACATATTAATTTTCTGACACGAATTTTATCATTGATATCTACAAATCCAGAAGATGTAATCAAAGTATGAATTTCATTATTTATATCATTAATACTATCTCCATGGAATTATTTTTTAAATTATATTTCTTGACAATTTCGAATTTGTAACAATTAAGTGAGACATGCTCCAAAAATTATAAACGCATGTTAAATGAATTTCTGATAGCAAAATTATTATTATAAATGTCTTATATTAAAAATTGTTGTACGAGGACATTATGCAATATATATAAAAATGCGCGTTGCAATGTAGATAAAATAATTAAAGTAATGATAGTATAAATTTGTGTTTTAAATTTTTGTTGATATACATTTACGACTGATATAAACGTGCATGATTAAATATAATCATAATAATAAAATACCATATTAATAAAATTGATTGTGTAAAAATAGATATTAAACAATATTTCACAAAATAATAATTAATTACGGTGCTTATTGTGATGTGTCAATTGCTTATTATTATGCAGTTGTCGACTACAGCTTACTGCTTTATTAACTGATTATACCTTCGAAAGTTAATTATACGCAGCACATACACAAAAGACGGAATATCGACTTGATAATAACAACATTATGTAAAATTCAATGCGTTACATAATGCACAAGAGAATCTCGCAAACTCAATAATTATCATTTTTATTTTAAAAATTGCATACATGTATATGGGTGGTATTAGTTGGCTTAATGCGCTATGAAATAATTGTTTATGTAAAAATAGTATTTCAAATAAAATATACCTCTTCTGCGTGATATCATAAGACGATTTTTAAAACATTCCATGCAGAAAATGTGCCGACATTTCATCATTCTAGGTGAGCTTACTTTGCTCTTGCATCCCACGCATTGTGATAAGTCGACAGATTCCAGCGAAGTCGTCCTATTATAGAAAAAAATGAACAGAAATTAATCACGATTAATAACAATTGAAAATTGTAAAATTAATAATGACCAATATCTTAATTTGCAAGCAATCGTAAGTTACAAAGAAAAAATACACAAATATCTTTCGTCTATTTTGAAGAGCTATATTTTTTGCAAGCATTTTTTTCTCCGTGCTTTCTCTCAAAAAAAAGATTATGCAATATACTATATTGCATACCTTTTTTGAAAAGCTATGCGCTTTCTTTACCCCAATTGATTCATCCCTTATTCTATTAAAAGTATTACATCCCTATTCGCATAAAAGTATTAAGGTATTATAAAAAAATCAATAGTTTACAAGATATTTTATATTTCATGTCAAAATATGTCAATAAAATATAAAATATCTCGTAAACACACACTTTTGATTTTTCGATGATTATACTTTAATACTATAATATATAGACGATAAATTTAAATAAAACACATTCCTAAGTAAAATATACAAGATAAAAATGTGAAAATGTGAATTTCATGATCGTACTTGCGAAGACGGGCGTTTTGTTCTCTGGATGAAAAATTTCTGGATCCCATCGGCCTTCTGCCAACGGAAGCGGACCTCCGTAAGATCTTTGGTACTTGACGCATCTCTCGCCTAGTCGAGCTTGACGCGGTGATGTTTTCTAGGCTCGAGTGCAGCCGATGTGGTACTTGTCGCTTGACCATTTTTTTCTTTTAATGTTCGAAAATTATACAATAATTAGAAAAGATTGAATTTAGTATTTAAGAAAAAAACGATATTTTTCTTTTTTCAGATTGTTACGGTATTTTGTTTGGTACCGCAGATATCAATTGCATGAAAAAGTTACTACTTTTTCCAACATATATTAACACGAACTCTTTGCCTCCTTGGTTTAGAACCAAGACGTATAAAAATAGCTCGATTTATCGTAAATCTCTCCACGGAATGCAATTAATTTTTATAAATATTTATTTATAAAACAATTAACTGAATGTTGTTAAAAATACGTATTCCTTAAATTACACACAAAAATAATTTAATTCACTGTATTCGTCACGTGTACTTCCATCTTGCACTCTTTTCTCATCAAAAAACGATTTATAACTTATAAATAAACAATCGCCTCGAATTACACGAGATTTGGAGTGCAGGATATCATTTATAATATTAGATCAAATAGGAGTGGGACCGCATCGCCGTGTATCGTGACGAAAACTGATAAAAAATATTCGGATGACTCGTTTTATCTCATCGGGGCCGGCTCAATAGCCCCATAGCACTGAATCATTTATTTTGCGATAAGATAAACGTTAAAAATCTCTATATCTGATTTTCGTAATAAAATTCGACGATAAATTCAAATTGGAGGTATTCACCTCAAACAATACAATAGCAAAATTTATTTGTAAAAAAAGTAAAATAAAAAACATCTCGTGAGCTGCTTTTAAACGACAAAAAGCAATCTTACTTACAATATACACACGTTATTTTTTTCACAGGTATAAGATCAAGATCGTCAAAAAATCATATTGTTAATTTTTCGTAGCATCTTAAAAATTGTGCCCGAACTAAATAAATGAATATATTAATATATGTTAATTGAAACTAAATATATGGGCTGGTTTCACCATCTCCGATTAACTGTAACCTACTTCGATTAAACTCACTCTTCGTTTCTTTCTAAAGAAAAAGACAAAGAGTCGGAGATGGTGAAACCGGCTTGAATGTATGATGTATGATGATTTACTCATAGATTATTACTCATTATTACCTTCCACCATGGATTACAATATTAAATATATATTTTACGCGTAAACGTTCTCTCAACCCGCCTACCATGGGATTTTAGGATTTAGCGTGTTACCCATTGGAAATATTCGTTGATATTCGTGGATGTGGCTACGTAGTTCAATGTTCATTTGTGTAGAGGCGCCAGCGAACATTTGTCTGCATTTGTCTATAATTACAATGACCTAACCTCTTTTCTACAATTTGCCAATATTTGTACACAATAGTTATAAACAAATAACTCATTTAATGATGAATATAATAGTGTAGAGCAAAAGTAGAATCGTCGTGTTTGTCGAACTCGTGTTAGATATATGTAAAGTGTAGAGCAGTAATTGTAGCTTTATGACAATTAAAAAGGATGTTTTCTCCTATCAGTAAGTTTATTCTTAATGTATAAGTTTAGATATAAAACTTACAAATAGAATTATAAGGAATCTACTTTTGGAAATTTGTCAATTTTTTTTATCAATTACAACTCTTTTTTTATTATGACTAAGAATTTATAAATATTAAATATTAACGAAGAAATATGGTAGAATTTTTAATGGCGCATTTTATTCGTTTCATTGAAATTAATATATTACAGATTTATCCTCGCCTAAGTCATTTCAAGGAAGAAATTTAACAGGGACTGCACGTCTTGTACGTGATTTAGCTGCGGATATTCATGGAAATATACAGCAATGGAACAAGCTTCATCTTCTAGGAGTCGATTATTTAAAAGACATAACGCAGGAAAAATGTGATAAAAATTATTCCGAAAATTTACAAGATTTATGTGACAAGTTAGAAAATATTTGTGATAATCTGGTAAATGTTTCCTTTAAGCACTCTCTTACCGCATTATTTCTTATTTTTGCACTTTTACCGGCCAACATCGTTTTGGCGTAATTGACATTTTACTTTACTCAGAATTATATATGTGTTTATCAATCTAAGTAATTGAAAATAACTTTATTTATAGGATGGCATAGTTGGAAACTTAGATCAAATTAAACATCAACTAATCAGTGTAACAGCCTTACATAAAACTGCAGATAAATTGTTTATAACATGGCCGACAACGAAATTTGGTAAGAAACAACCTTAGATAGCTAGATTTGTTAAAAACGCACTTTGCAAAGCATTCGCTGTAAATTTTGCGCAGAATGCCAGCAGAAATGTAATCTTTTAACAGAATATGATAGCAAATTGATTACAGAAACCAAGTAGAAAATCTGTTATTTTATGATTAACTATTTAAATAATGTTGGCAGACTCTGCTGATGGAATAAAAGCTTAATAAGAACATAGTCTATGCCACTCTATGCTAATCCGCTATATTCCGTTCAAATCTGTTGGCAAATGCTAGAACATTGCTATCATTTTGCTTACTAGAAACTTATTTGTACATAAGTGATAATTACAATATTTTGATTATAATTGAGTATGCTTCAAAAATGTTTAGGTGAGGTAGCAGAAACTATATACAAAGCATATCATGTGGAAGCTAAATTAAAACGCAAATTACTTGAAAATGTTGCTCACAATTATACAGACTCTTGGAAGATGCTCCATCTGGCAGCGTGGGTGTACGAGCCTTCATTGACTGAAGATTTAAAAGTTTTATTAGATTCGTTACTTATTGAAACTGGTCATAGGTGATAAAAGTCATTGTATTTTTTTAATTTTAATATAGTTAAATAAAACAATGGATTGCAATTTTATTTATTCACATGTTATGACCTAATATGATATATATTTGATAACTATTCCAGTTGTCCTGAGTAATAAAGAAAACCAAAACTGTTTAAATTACAATTTTTTTCGTTTACAGTAATGGTTTTTTTCAAAATAATTTTTCCTACATTCTTGTGTCGTTTTTATTAAATTTTTTTACGTGCCATCGTATGTTCTATTCTCTCTATATAAAGAGATGTATTGTGTATAGTATATTAGATAATAGAAAAAAAATGAGAAAATACATACTCTTTTGAATTTTATAATTTCGTATTTAATAAAGAAATATAATTTTTTTAAGCATTTGATAATGCTCTATTATTGTTTAGAATGAGCATTTAAATGGTATTTTTTATTTTTAAAGTTCTATTCTCATTAGGAAAATTAAAAACATATTAATAGCTCTTTCTCTTTTATTTCTGATTTCCTGAAACATTTAAATCGCAAAAGTCATTTAACAAAAGAAAAGAGAATTAATGTAATATCAGAAATTAAATGAAATAATTAGTGTAAGTAGTTACTATTTCGCAAATACAATTCATGTTCTTTTAAAAGGTTATTTTATTATATAAAGCATGTATGACGACAAAAGCTCGTAATTTATAACATAATTTTTTTATAAAAGATGAAAGGGAAAGAGTGAGACAGGGGACAAAGGGGAAAGAGAAAGGGAAGAAAAAAAGAGAAGAAAAGAGGAGAAGGAGTTAATGATCAATTTTACTTGACGGTATTTTTGCTTCTCAATCGATTATTACTACTTATTATTAGATATTCCTAATGTTGAAAATAATCAATATCAATATGTATCAATAATAATCAATGATCAATAATAATCAACATTAGTTGATAAGAGTCATACAAGGACGTTCTTAAATCCATATTTGGGAATTCCAAAAAGTAGGTAATTAACGAATATCACAAGTCTTCCGTAGCTTAACAATTCATGATTAAGAAACAAGTGAAAAAATTGTAAAATCATTTTATATTAATGCAAATTAAAAAATTTCTTTATATTTTTGTTAAGTGACTCAAATCACGAAATTACATTAGTTGTCATGCCTATGTACAGCCTTAATATTTGTATGCCACTAATATTTGACGTATCATTGAAAAGAACATATAACATGGTTTTTTATTCAATAATCAAACAGAAGATTCATAATAATCATTTACAATTAATCATCTGTAATTTGAAAAGTACAGACATGTACTTTCTTCCCCGTAAAATCAACATCCGAATTACAATGGGAGAAATTATCTGTAAATGTACATTTAGAATATCCAATTAATAACCGCGATAGAATTCCTTTTTTAATACTTATTATATATGTATGTATATATATGTATATGCACAAAATTATATTTCTCAATGACATTCATGAAAATATTAGATCCTCCAGATCCTCATCCGACAAATAGAAATCCTCAGACAGATCGTTAATATCGACACTGGGATCGTAATCTGCACTATCGTCGCCAGAATCACTCTCATCTCCATCATCATCGTCGTCGCCATCTTCATTATTTTCCCTGTTCTGATCGTTATCATCACCATTATCGTCTCCACCAGTATCTGCATTATCACCATCTGTTTTCAGAGTACAAACAAAAATTCTAGTGTCATACTAGAACATTACAATGTAATTTACAAATATATAAAAATTTTTAACACTCGCGGAACAACACTGAGATATATCTCAGGGATAAATAATAAAATGAAATATTGATTTTTACCATCCGCATTATTATCGTCTGACGCATCATCGTCACCATCGTCATCACTGGCATCGAGATCATCTTCTTCATCGTCTTCGTCAGCTTCATCCTCGTCGTCTCTTCGTCTTCCAACATCGTACAATCTAGCACACGATTCCTGTATGCTGGCAAATTCACCCAGGTTTTCTACTATCGCAATCTGAGTGTCAAATTTATTGCAGGCGAGACTATAAATTCCTCTTTTCACATCACAGGTTGCTAAAATATTAATATATGAAATTAATTATTTACAGGCTAAAGTAAAAAAAAATTTTACATTATCTTTTAAATAGTAATAATATGTTTCTTGTATTATAATAATGCTTCTTTCTTACCAATATTATTGTAATCTAAAGCATCTAGAGTCTTGAAGGAAGTCGAATAATGAGAATCACTTTCATTGTCTTGATCTAACGAGACTGCATATATAATATTGTTGACCGGTGAGAAGATCACTTCCATGTCATCGAGAGTGGGAACTGTCTTAAGTAGGTGAAACGTTCTCAAATCCCATACTTCGGTATTAGATACAACTTCAGTCCCGTTTGGATGAAAAACTCCGTTTAATGTTTGATTTAATTTGTCAAACTTATGAATTTCTTTCCCTGAATTAACATCCCATAATATGCCATCGCTAAGTACTAACTCGTCGTTCATACTAAAGGTTGCCCGATTTTTAGTATATTGATTTGAAATGGATGGCGTCAAGGTTTTTATTAAGCTTCCAGTTTCTATATCGTATATCTATGATGGAAAGTGTATAGAACATATAAACTTATTAAAATCTTTTAAGATATAACGCAACTGGAAAGTTAGATATAAAGCGCTACTGATAGCTGTTAACGTAAACGACATTATTTTCGTTATGCAATACGGTTAATACAATTAAATGCTAATAAAGTCGGTGTATATGTATTTACCGTCGCGCTTTCTCCTTGGGTACCGATTATTCTATCTTGCAACTTGCTAAATTCAATATATTCATCGTTGTCGAAGGCTTTTTTCATTTCGAAGAACGCTCCCGTGTCCCAGAGCACTGACATAGGACTTCTCCAAGCAGTGGAGGTCAACAAAAGATTACCACGCTTATTACTTTCCATGTGATACACATACGTTTCATGGCAATTATAACTTCCCTCTTCCATCCCTGTATGGACGTTGAACATTTTGACGTCTCCAGCATGAGTGCCCAAAATGAGATACTGTGTGCAAGGCTGCATTCAAAGATACAATTAAAAAGAGATATATAAAACAATAGTTTACAAAAGCCCCAGAATGGTTTACAAAATAAATTAAAACTTACCGAGAAAGTACAACAGGTAAATATTCCTCCCGTATCGGTAGGCCGAAAGGTTTTTATAGGACAGAAACGGCTATAAATGTGTTTTCTATCTAATCTTCTACCATCCATTCCGAATGCTCGTCTCGTTAATCTCACTGTTACATTCGTAGGTGTAGAATTTTTTGCGCACGGGTCTGGACATTTGTGTGGTCTACAATATTAATTGAAGTACATGGATAAAACCAAACCGAAATAATCGCATTTTACACATTATGTATAGCTATTTTAAAAATAGAAAATATTGCTTACACAAAAAGATTGAATTGCGGGCATGTTACCATAGGATTTTTACAGAGAGCATGTTGATTAGTTAAATATTCCGTGATAATAGAATCGAGAGTAACCGATACGTTGGAGCTAGCTACTCCAGGTCCTCCACCACTTCCGGGATCTCTAAAAATCTGTTTCTGTAAAGATCTACAGCTATTTGATTGAGGCTGTATCATAGATTGATAATTAGCTGGAATGACTAGATTAGCTGGCTGCTTTTCGGATGAAATTGATTTCCTACAACATAACGACAATTGTTTAAAAACAGGATATCGACTATAAACATATTGAAGAAAGTATACGCAACTTACTTCTGATTAATTTGTAATTTAATTGGCTGATTTGCATTATTCGAAATAACATTTTGATTCAGGCAATCAGCGAGCTTTAATCGGATGTTATTATTCACAGATGAACCAGTGCCCGTATGGGATATAAATCGAGACGATGTGGGAGTAGTATTGTTTCTACAAGTAGTTTCTTTTTGCGCACATCTAATTGTATTATATAAATTGACAGGGGCCCCTGGAGAAAAACTATTTCTTGGCTAGAAAAATAACATTTTGATATTTGTAATGTGTATTTTATACAAAAGTGTTAATTGTTTATTATTTTATAATTATTAAAAAAGAACGTACATATGTATATACATATGCATCTTTTATCTAAATTTTATGAACGATCTTATTGATCACCATTTTAACTTACAGTTACGCTTGCAGGATTTCGGTATGTAAAAGGTTGATATGTTATTGCAGATTTCATAATTGCAGATGATTCCAAGTTTGCTTCTCTATGTAATACATTAGCCGTCTCAGTTAAACCCTTCGACATGAGATGCTGATATATTAAATGGTTAAGTTGTTGTTCATTATATTGTATTCTCGTTTGGGCTACAACATTAGCCTATAAAAAAAATCATTTTGTTTAGAAACATCGCAAGAATAATTAAAAGAAAAGATAAAAGCCGGATATTTTGACGATGCTAAAACCGGGTTAACTTCAAAGAATTAATAATTGGAAAATGTGCGGCTGTTTTGGGATATCTTGTGCATGTATGTAAATTAAAAGCAGCTTACCCTATGTAAACTGACTAAGGAAATTTCATATTCTGCACCCGTTGGTTTCGCTTTACCAGATACCCTTTCCATTAATTCGAGAGCATATTTTTGGAAAATAACATGTTCTTGACGTTTTTCTTGTAAGATAGGATCTTTCATAAGCGACTGAATTTGCCCATTCGTGAACATTGGTAACTTGCTAATAATCTGCCTAACTTTCTCGCTACGTGCTAGTCCAGCTAGTGCACGACACGCCAACGCTCGTATGCTATCGGCATCAGTAATAGGTGTTTTCACCATCATTAATTGCAGTAACACCTGTTACAAAAAAAAATAATTTTATATAAATCACATCCAGATAATTATTGTAAGACACGATTACACATACATACCATTATCCCGTTATTCGACCTAACGCTTTCCCATACTTTTTGTATCAATTCTTCGCTATTGTGAACGTTCTTTTTCTTGGCAGATCCAGTTACAGAATATCTAGCTACATTTCCTCCGACCTTAAAAAGTCATCAAATATCATCAATTAGAACACCTTAAGAATATTATATACATATATTTGAGAGAATAATTTATATAAAATAAAACGTACTCTGTTTATAGGAGCGCACACACAATTAATTACAGCTCTAAGCGCTGCTCTTTGTACATCAGGATCTGCAATAATCTCACATTCAGCTGCAGCTAGCAAAAGATTAATCGCCATCGTCACCGACATGTCTGGCATGTCGACTTTTTCGCATAGCAGCAACATAACTTTTGGTACAACAGAAGAAATTGCGATAATGTCCAAACATGATCTGACCGTCTCTGCACTAGAAGTAGTATGTACCCTAAAAATATCAATTATTTAGAAACTCCAAAACTCCTACTGTGTATTTGTATATGTAATATCACTAATCTTTATATAACACTGGATGGCATAGCATATACCATCCAATGTTATATAGAGATCAGTGATATTACATATATATCATGTAATATATACTGTAAAACACAAAATTACAAAGATCCGATAAACTTTTGTTAATGTAGATATGTGTTAATTTACACTGTCCACTCACCGTCCACTATAGTTCCATTCGCGAGCATAAGCTATGATTTGCAAAATCAATGTAATACCGCCTAAACGATAAAGCTCTTCCACTGGTGGCCATATCGCTCTAACTGACATTAATTCTTGGAGTATCTCTACTTTTGCTTGAACTTCCTCGCTACTCAACTTGCATGCCTAGAATAATAAACGTGCCTCAAAAATGTATATACATCAAATATATAAAAATATAACAATTTACAACAAGAAAAAAGAATGTAATTATGGGCGCAAATTATATTTTAGAATAAGATGCATGAGTAATTAAACGCGATTTAAATAAATGATCCGTTAAAAGGTAAGAAACTTTGAGATTTATTGTTTCAGATAATTATAAAGCGTGGTTCACAAATTGCTCATTTTTTACCACTCTGATAAGATAAGATAAGAAGAACTTCTTTAAATGCATAATTAATTGCTCATCCTTACCTTGTAGGGTGGTAATGAGGGCTGCCATGTATCGCGTTCAGCTCTAACGTTTTCCGCACGTTGCAATTGCTCTGCTTTTAAATGCAAATGCGCTTCCATGTATCTCTTTAAAGCAACAGTTACGTGTCGTACAATCTGCCTTGATGCACACTCCTCATCGTCATTTAGAGTCGAGTCTTCTTCAGGGTTTAAAAGTGTCAAAACCGATATCTATATATATACAGCAGAATTTAATTATATTTTACTTTATCGAACAAAAAATAATTCAATGTGAGCTCCGTTATCTTTTTCACAATGAACAATTTTTGTGGTTTAAATTAAATAGGTAAATAGATATTAAATTTATTATCATTTTGCTTAGTGAGCATAAGCATTGATCAATGTTTTCTTACCACGTTATACAATTGTCTCAAGCCGTCCCGTGCGTCAAACTCTTCCAATATAACTTTGAATGGGAAAGAAAAGCCAAAGAACATAGTCGCGTGACATCGTCCAGAATCATGACTGCATTCCAACAACCACAATGCGTAAATCACGAGATTGGATATTATGTGTTTCGGCAACAGACACACTCGTTCCATAGCATCCTCGCAGTACGCAAGATAATAAAGACATATAGATACACCTGTCGCCGCAACACTCGGCCTCGGCACATCCAACAGCCTTTGCAAACCGCCGACATTTAGGAATTCGATTGAGAACTTTTTATGACACAACAAGGACGCGAGGTACTTGAGAGCCTCAAAAGCGAGTCTGCAATCCTTAGTCTCTTGCACGTTTATGTATTTCAGTATCAAGTCCAGAGCGTTGTGTTCGAACACATGGCCGAGGAACTCCTGATACTCGCCCATCGGTGTCAGGTATCGCAAAACCAGCATTTGTCGAGTCGCGAGTGTAGGAGGATGCATTTGAATACTGCCAATGACACGCGATTTCGTCTCGGCCCAGGAAGAATTTGAATTTCCCTCCGCCTGTGTCATTTGCGCGTAAGAACTTTGAAACAGACTGGACGACTTTTGCAAGTTGCTCCTGACGGATGCCGGCACAGCGATTCTTGTCGGCTGTAAACTGTAGTTCTGCTTGGATGGTGTCACTGACAGGTTGCTCGCGGCTTTCGGGATGGACAGTGGTGGGGACATGATCTCAGGATAGAGTTCGCTGTTCTTCACGGGCGTCTCACAACCGGAGTTGCTCCTCTTCTTCTTTGTGGCCGGCACATCATTGCGTATCGAGTCATTCTCATCGGAAGAAAGTGACTCTTGATTTTTCATAACTCCGTTTTTCTGCCGTTTTTCTGCTCCGTTTTTGTCTCGTAACTTGCGCTTCTCGGGGATATCTCTGTCATCGCAATCGCTGACGCTGTTCTTATCTTGTCCAACATGAGCAAACGGTCTAACGTTCTGCTGACGATCTTCGTGCGCCTTCTCCTGCAACTTATGCAACCGTTGCAACATTAGTGGCACCATTTTGGCATTTTGATCTCTAAATCCTGTAGCTATGTCTTGCACTTCCATAGCGGCGGCCAGAAGGCCGGTCGAGTAGCTCTGTAATGGCTCGATGCTTTTTTCTGCCCAAGAAAATAATCTGTGTATAAGACCTTCCATATCTGGCTGAAATACTGCTGAGGTTTCTAATCCTGGGAGTATATCTAGCATCAGTCGACAGGCAGCAATGTTCAGTTTTCTGACGTCTCTTCCAGTTATTCCCGCCCGAGAAAAATACGAGTCTCTCAAGTAATCATTTATTAACTGGAAACAAACCATGTATTATTAAAAATATCATTTTACAGTGTAACATTTTAATTTCAAAAGAATATGTAGATGATGAAAAATATTGTTATCATGTTATCAAGCACATTCTGCTTAACTTGTACGATTGTCTTATCATAAAAATAATACAGCAATATTTTCTGCTTTACTCAAAAATGGCAAACTAAATAACCTGAGTTAACTAAACATTATAATAGAAAATAGTGTAGAATTCTGCGTCGAATATTTTTTAAGTTGTGATAAAAGCAAAATTCACTTAAATTCACAAATATTAATATATCAATTACATTCGAAAGAAACAAATGTAATACGCATCATGCTACAATATACACTCTTATCGGATTTTATCAATTCTATATATAGTTACCTTCGTCATGAAATTATCCTTTCTAAATAAAACTTTCAATATATGCCCGAAATTGCATTCTGGATCGGTGCGCGACGGATGTCTCTCGTCGAACGGATCTGGATCCACATTCATGTAATGTTCTGTCTCGAGTTCTATTATATCCGCCAATCTCTCGAGAACAGGAATGGGATCGTAAGTTGGTGAGCTATGTTCTTCCTCCCATTGCCGTAGAATTTGTACAACATCCGTTACTTCCGCAAGCGATTCTGCATTCGCCATTATTTATCTGCAAATATGTATATACGTTTGAAACAACAATTTGAAAATCGAGCTTTCTCGTTGGATTTCAACGCCTTACAAAATTTTATATTCAATCTCATAATTTTGTGCGCGCGCGCGCGCAATGTATACGCACACACATACGTGCCCAGACAGTATCATGTCCAAAAGCGGGACGTAAGACGTCTAAAAAAACATTTTTTAGACGTCTTACAAGAAAAGTCGTTTAAAGGTCCATTCTTTAGACGTCTAAAAGTCGCGTTTTTTACATAATGTTGTCTGGAATGTGTATAAAATCATACACTATACAAAGTAAAATAAATTATTGTACAGCACATTCCTGCGAAGGAACCCGATAAGGGTTTTCGCCGAAAGTGCGCTAAAATCTCGACACGCGAGTTCTGTCAAACGCGGCAACATGGTCCCCGTCAAACCGCAACGCTAGAGGTTAACTCCCGCGCGAAAGATACAGTATACGGGACAATCGATGTCGACAATATTTACAATTTTTCGATGTGTCAGGCATTTAAAAAGAACAACACCGTTCCGTTGACCGGCCTCGAAGCGAAAGACTCCCCTCACTGACACGCGAGGAGAGACATCCTCAATGTCACGACGCGTGTGAATTGCGGCAAACCGACGACATAACCTCAAAACCGCCAACGACGGTAAACAAAGGGGTAGGATAACAAACGGAGGGATTGTCGGAGAGTATTGTTCGAAGGAGGGCAATTTCGACGCGTGACAATTCGCCCCGACCGAATTACACAAGAAAATCGGTCGAGCCGGCCGGCGTCGCAAATTCGCGACAATTCGCGGCGACCGCGAGGCTCAACGGGCTCACTCACATCACCGTTTCGCCGCGCGTTACGGTGGCGCGTGTCCGTCACAGGTTAGGATCCGCGATACGCATTTACGTTTGACAACTGTCGTTCGATGGTTATTCCTCCGGCAATTTTGCCAGCGATCTCCCCGACGACACGGACGATACGCGCGACTCGGGCAGACAGCCGAACAAGACTCCGAGACTTACAAATATTTAATTATCGTTATCACACTTATCCGTCACACTTGGCTCTTGCACAACGATGTATATATCGGCATGGACAGTAACCTCATATTTCAGAATCTCCTCGTGAATCTTCGGGTAGTTCCGAGCAACTGGTTTCGCAAAAATATTAGATGGGTAACGTAAACACGAACTCCGTACGACGATCCCGAGGTGATCCCGGAGTCACGTGTCCAGTCACGTGGTCGCCATTTTGATCATTGATTCGCGCGCTTAAATTTTGATCCGGTAAGCTACGAAGATAATTATTATACGATAAACAAAATATATAAACGATACAAACCACTACTCGTATATTATTAAATTTGTGAAATTATTGTAATTTTTTATTAACATTAATCGAAATCGCTTTTATCTTGCACATGAGAAGCTTCGCCGTTTCAATTAACAAAAATGTAGCGTTGCACAAACTGACGATACTTTTAATTATAATAATTAATAGATAATAACATCAATTAATAAGTATAATATTAATTAACAAAGTAGATAGTACGCATATCCCTAACGTCCATTTTTACTAATGTAGATTTTATCTTTAATCTCGGTTCAACTTACTTTTTATATTTCTCCAGTTCTAAAAATTAAAAAATAATAAAAGTACGTTAAATCAAGATTAAAGTTAGTCTACGTTGGTAAAAGTGAACATAAAAGAATCATTGTATGCATATATGTATGCACAAGGTAAGATTTATGTATAAAATATAATCATAGTAAACTAATTAAATAAATTACATCTTTCCACTGTTTTATATTTATATTGAAATAGCTTTCAATTATATGCAATTAGATAATTTATTTTTTACAATGTTATCTACAATACTGATTTTACAAGTAGTAATGTATGTATAAAGCCTTTTATGTGTAGTACACATATATTAAAAATCATATAACAAAAATATATTCTCCCGAAACATTCATCTACGATCATCTATTTTTTTAATAGACTTCTTTCATCAGAAAATCATATAATTCGTCAATTGAATGCACTTGTAATACATTTTAATCATCTTTCTCATCATCCTTGGAATTAAGTTTCAGAATTGTGCGTAAAATAACCGGAAACTAGGATTATCAGAAAATTTTATATTGAAATTCTTGAAAATGCTCAATTCTTTCTCAGATTGAGAATAATCTTTGTACATATATACATAACGCATTGAGAGATAAAATCAATTTGTGAAAAGTCTGAGAACGATCAGAAAATGTAAATAACTTTTTCTCCGAATCATTATCATCTTTCTTTACTATGGTCTCCCAAATGTTTTTATTTTAATTAAGGCTCCTGGGTATTCGCCGCCGTCAAAGTTTTCAGAATATTTTATAAGTGTGTTAAAAAGCAATCTGAAGTATTTTTTTTTTTTTTTTTCATCAAAATATCTTTTTATTTAAAAATAGCGCGCAAGAATTCTCAACATATGTCATTTCTCGCCTCTGACGTCACGATCTACATGACCGCGGCGAGATTTCAGGAACCTTAAACTTGTAAAGTCCGACACTTGATAACATTTTTCGTTATAACGTTAGAATTATTATTTTGTAATTTTATCTTTTATATTTCGATACGTTATTATACAGCTCGTTTTTTATTTAAGGAATCTGAACAAAATATAGAAAAATGATGTTGGAAATAAAGAATTATTAATACAATGAGCATGTCTTTCGATAAGAAATAGATGCAGATAGAAAATCACTCGCTCTGCTTTATTACGAATTTGTAACAATCGGGAAAAAGAGTTTACTTACATTTTCTGAAGTAAATGTTATCTTCTCTGTTATTTCAGAAGATAATAACTTTATCTTCACGATACATAATAATATATAGCATAAAGTATAAAATCCATCCTTAAATTTTACAAAAATTACTTTGTAACAGCAGCAAAGGAATTAGGCTACCGCTGTCCCGAAACTCAAGTTCATAGATGAGATTCTTGAAAATTCCTTATTCCTTAATAAGTTTGAGTGCTGCTGAATAAAAGTGTCAATAACTCTGGGTCCGTTAAATTTCTTTTATATTTTTGTACCATCTCTTGAATTTTTAGACGTCTTCGAACGTGCGGTGGATGATAACTGAAACATGAATATATGTATGCATTTATACGTTTTATCCAAAAATAAAAGAATGCACATAACTTTTCAATATAAACGCGATATAATCAACAGAATACAGAAGTGTGATCTCTCCTTCATTATTAATTTTATTACCTGTCGTTATCCAGCCTTCTTCTACGTCCCATATTAAGAGCCGTTTGTCTAACCAAGGTTCCCAAGACTCTTCTCGATACCACCATACCGTCGATTAAGGGCGTCGCCAAATTGATTCTCGAAACCGGCCCCTGCAATCTGACCCGCATCAAACCATTAGCGAGGGCTTGAAGAAAGATAACGTGCACATCGGTAGCTTGCAGCGTCCTCGCTTGTTCCAGCCCGGTGTAGGTGGAAGGAAGCAGATCGCCTACAATCCAATAAGAGCGTTTAATTTGATGCAACAAAGAATACATACAAGACAATAACATCGCATGGCGATAAAATATACAATAAAACGTTCCAATTAATTAATTAATCGCGAGTTTCGGGACGTTTTGCTTGTGGAAAAAGAGTGAACGTACCAATCGGGAACTGGATATGATCTTCCAGACTCTCCAACCACACAATCATGATTTTTGTATTGGTTTGAGACGGCAGAGCTTGCTTTGCCGACCTTCTAGGCCTGATGGGATCTGCACTCGAAGAATTCGTCGGACCTGCTCCCGGCAAGCTCGACGGCTGTTTCTCCAAATCGAGCGACATCGCTCGAGAAGTCTGCGTTGTATTTTGTGACATTCCACTGCTGCGAGTGTCCGTACTTTCACTGATGCTCCGTTCAAACCAGGCTGTAACAAAAAATAATATAAACTATGGTTCTGAGAAGTAAACCATATTCGTTATACATAATAATCTAAAGGTCTTCCGCAGATAATAGGAAAGCAAATAAAAAAAGACATGTTTCTAAAATCTGTATTTCAATTAGTATTCTCGCCTTTAAGATTTACCTTGTCCACTGGCACTGATATCGCTATTGTAACTGGTCTCCTCTAATGAATCCGTGCTGGCGATGAGATACGACTGCGTAGGCACAACAAATGCGATTTCCGAACTCACATCCGCCCAATACAACACGTGAGTGTCACCGTTGTACAGGGCACCACCGTGATTGCTGTGAGCTGGCTGTGGCACGTTGACTTGCGCCGTTACTCTCCACGAAGTAGATACGTGGCCGGTCCAGCCCGCGTGACCTGACACGGAAACGGGCCAACCGAGAGAGCTTAAGAATTCCAAGAAATTTGGCGACACATTCTCCTCGTGCAGCTGTGAACGTAAGATGTGTAGCGTAAAGTTGTGTGCCTTCTTTTTTTTAAGAAAAATTTACAACATAGAATAGATCAAAACAATAATATATATATATATTATCGTTATTCTAAACTATGATTGAAAAACCATTGTCTTACCACGTTTGACAATATTTCGGAGGCAGACTTTTGACCAGCTTTTACGTAAAAGATGTGAACGGTGTCGCACGTTCGCGGGCTGATGTTGTCCAGAGTTTCCAAGTCCGTACAGAAACCAGGGATGGTCGGATCTAGAGCGATTAGCCCGCTACTTCTGGATTCCTCGTTCTCCTTAGGTTCCATATTTAAGAAACCGAAATGGCTCAGGAATAGACGAGCCGTTTGGAACTCGTGACAGACCTGGGGCGGTACGCATTCGTCGGTTTTGTCTTCTGCATCCTTTACACTACCATTGTCATGCTTCGACTCGAGCGTTATCTGACGTTCTAAGAACTGCACGAGGATCTGATGTTCATCACGTACAGCATCGTTGTCACTCATAACTGCCTCGAGACTCGGTATCGATTCATCCCTGCCATGAAGATCACGCAATTAAATATCGTTTGGATTAGAATAATGTTGTAAAATGCGATTCCAATTAACTCAAATAGCCGAGTATTTTGAATATCACGTCTAATCAGAATTGTATCATTTATATTTTGGAAATTTTACATTTAATTTACTTTATTTTAATTATATTCGAATACTTATAGCCCTAAATTAAATATAATTGGGGAATAAAGTTTGGAAGTTGTCTTGATTTAAGATCTGCTGCAGGCGTTCACTTACACTTTACAGTGAGGAATGCGATCTACATTATCTGGGAAGAATCTCGGTTTATAATCCGTTCGTGGTGCGGCTTCAGCTAACGGCAGGGGTCGTCCGGGATTGCTGTTTATACTTCTGATGCTGGATCGATGACGCGGTAAATGACGAAGCTGCATCGTCCACGCGTGTCTGCCGAACGGTCCACGGATTAGGACCGTCACGGTCGGCTGAGGATCCTGATCGTTCCCCAGTGGTTCCTCCAACAGCGCTAACACAATCGCGTTCTCGGACACGAAGTAACGAAATCTCTCGACGGCCGCTTGTCGTGCCACGCGTCCACCGGTCCAGCTGTTGCAGTGCCGAAGCAAAGATACTTCGTCCAACAATGACGAAAGCGATTGTGCCCCGCAGGCGCTTGGAAAGTAACCGACCTACAGAGAGAAGTACAATTATAAATAAATTCGACGAAATTGAGAGGAGATAGCTTCTTCGATTAAAAATTCTTTGAAAAAAAAAAAATCTTAATATAAATCCCTAGAAATACCAAAAGATTCAAATTCTAGCATTAAATATCTTTGATTACCGCGCACTCATGTGTCTTTTTTTATATGTTATACTATGGCAAACAAACCTGTTCCAACAGAATAGTGAGAAGAACATCGGCAGCGTCTCTTACGCGCATAGAAGCAGGCTTTAGCTCTTTTTCGTCTTTCATTTTGATAGGTTCTCCCGGTTTTCCGACACTCTTGGTGCCTGACACTCCGAGCTCGACGACTTCCAATACTGTAGTCAAGCAGTCTTTGTCCTTCAACAGCAGAAAAAAAGGAATCAATGTATATATAGAATTTCAAGTAAGATTAATTTCCATAAATCATCCATAAAAAGTCGCCAACCTGTAACAATTGCGGATGGGCAGTTAGCCAGGTTGTCAGGCAAGTGAACGCCGCGACGATGGACGAATGGAGATCCTTAGAGTGCGCCGGAGGTGGACGCCAACACTGATACGAAATGTAGTCGCACAACCATTTTACCGCCCTCTTGCATTCCAGAGCATCTGCAATACATACACAGCGTTTCGACGCGCACTTTGTTCCAAGAGCGTTCAACGTTAGAGCTGACAATTTTTATCTGACAGATATCGAACCTGTGAGCTTCCTTGCTGCATGCAGAATTATTTGAAACAAGACAGGAGATAAGTATCTATATTTCTTGCATATGTAAGATATATATAAGTATATACGCGTATAACGAAATTTAAATCTTGCAGATACAATTAATCTGCATTGATCTTGCTACCTGTTTCGCGAATGCGTGTGCGTGCTAATCCCGATAACATCTCGAGTGCTGCTAGAGAGATGTTCAAGTCAGTCTTCCATGACGAAATCAGACGGTGACACACCAAGTACGTTGCTCGTACAAAAAGAGCGTGGGCGGAATCTGTAAGAATGTCCCTCTCATTTAGTCTCTAGGTCTATAAGAAATAATATCACACATGTCTATGTTTTACACCAGTAAATATATACATATATAATATTTATAAATATAACAAATGCTACGTATATATATAGTGAGAGAGAAAGAGAGAAAGGAAAAGAGAATAAATACATCTTTTCTCAAAAACTTTGAACATAACGATAAAAACATAAACGTCAAGCAAAAATGAAATTCGCACTCTACGAATGTCTTCGAATGCGATTTTTCTAGCAAGATAGTGTAGCAAGATAAAACAGTATTTGTATTTACCAAACGCAATGCATTCCTCTTGAAGGGTTGCAATATCAGAGGCATCGCCAATTGATCGCTGATCACTGGATATACTTATTTGACTGGCCGAATCGCTGGTGACTATATTAAGCGATGATAAGACGGTACAATGGCGAAACGCACAACGGAACACAATTCGTAATAACAATAAAGAAATTAACGTTTCATATATAAGCACGTGTAAAGCTGATACGATGAGAGGTGACATTAAGCATTGTAATTCGAATATTTTGCGCCCTCATACTGATTTACTCCCATTCATAAGCTATCGATAAATATTAATAAAAAGTCTCTGTATTAAATAAAGTAGCAGTATACTGGGACATTGCTATCTTATTGGCATCAGAGAAAAAACCCAGTCGTGATCATAGGCGTTATCCATAGGTCATAAAACAATTCTATTAAATTATAATAACAAGTTTTATTGTATCTCGTAAAATTAGTAAAATTAATTGTTAAATTATTGCTTTAAAGTTATTACTTTGAGAATTACTTTTAAAGAATCGTTCTTTATCTAATTATCACATTACTTTTTACACTCTTCATGGGCAATCTAAAGAAGAATGCCAATTATTTTCTTATATAAAATAACAGTAAAGCAATGTTTATACCGCTCTTTGTCATATGATACATAAAAAATAGTGCCTATGATCACAAGATCATTCATAAAATTTGAACAGACAGAAGTTACTAAGAAACTCAAAACAGTGCATTTATCCGAGTGCAAGCTAATATCATTTAGTATCAAGGACGAACCTGAAGATAATAAATTAGTTGCCGAGTCACTGGCTACCGTGTCGGGTTGCGTGACCTGTTCCACTTCTTCCGCTGCTGCAGAATCTTGTACGCTCAGTAACAAAGCACCTGACAAGAATTATTTACACGTCAACATTTATTTTTATCTATATAATTTTCTACTTCTCAACGGAATGTTGATTTCTTTCTTTTAAGTTTTGGTTCCATAAAAAATTAACTTTGTCAAAGAAATATGAATTTTTCATTGATCGTAAATAGAGGATTCAAGATACACTTGAAGATACACGTTGCAAGAGCGAAAGTTAAATCGCAAACAAGCTCAATTTCAATAGCGGTACCCCTTTATTAACTTACCCAATAGCATATGTGTATTCTGAGGATCGGTCTCCACTTGTAAAGCGTTTATGAGTAGATTCATGAGCCTCGGTTTTAATTGTACAAACGTTACGGGACTTCTCTCGGATAAATTCGTGCCTGGCAATATCGGAAGCTCCTTAATGGCGAGGTTCTGCAATGAAATATTCACGTACAGACTTCTTCAATTATGTGATCGCGTCCGCGTTGAATATGACAATTTATTAAACATTAATAAATTTTATTAAAGCAATTCAGGAAAGAAAAAAAAATTACATTTATGTTTACCTGAAAATGCAGAGGCAGCGTTAACATTGATATTAGCAGATGTATCGAGGCTCTTCGCAAGTCCGGCTTTGATACCATATTAGATTTCAGCTTCAGGTCTTTCTCCGGTAGGACCACCTCCAGAGCGGACAACACGGCTGGCACCAAGACTTGTATACCATTCAAATCGAGGCGAAACAGATCAGCCGAATTCAACAGAATACTCGCTAATGTTTCGCCACATTCGCGAGACTGAAAACAAATTGAATACACGCAGGTTACTTCTGTCTCTTTCGAGGTCTATCCGAAAAATATGAGATGCAACCGGATACTACCTCGTCGACTTTGAGGCCGTGATACATCGCCTGGTAAAATCTGGCCAGGTACACGGGTAAGATCTCTTCGCCTGTTTTCTTGGCGCAGAAAATTCTACACAGGGCGCCCAATGCCTCCGCTCTGCCCGACTCGTAGCGGTCTATGCAAAGTGTCGGCGGTACGTCGCTCACGGTTTCCTGCAGAGAACTCGGCCCGTCCACAAGTACCGATGACGGACGTTTTGAAGCGCCTGACGGTTCTGCTCACGAGACGATCATCGCATATAAAATACAACCATGTGTAAGACATTCTTTTATCTCACGTACAGCGATACTTACGCGGTAAGTTCTGCGACCAACCTTCGGTACCGATAAACGCGGCCTCGAACAACCATTCCCCGAAGAGATGCAGTATACTGTTACACTTGGGTCGTCCTGGAGCTAAAGGAGGTCTAATGTCCTGGCCAAGCGAGGTCATAGCTGTAAATCACACGGGTGTGATCAAAACGGAGATATCTCCGCTATATAATTGTGAACTTATAAAAATGTTATTACATGCAGTACTCGAAGCGGATGACGGTCCGGAATTGGATATTAGCATCGGCGGTGTACTAGTTACACGGCTTGTCGTCAATCCGATTAACGACGCTTTCGGGATTCCTGCAAAATATTTACGCGATTCTACAGGATGCTTTGTAACAGCGACGAATGAAGTGCCATGGAGTACAAGTTCACTAAAGACTAATAATTCACAATTGTTGTATATCTTATTAGAGTAAATTTTAATAATATAACATGTATAAAAAGCATGTATAAAGTATACAGAATATCGTATAAAAAGAAAACATTATGATACAAAATGAGTGCTATACAGTATTCGTGACTTTAGATTTTAGCGGAGAAGACAATTGACTGATTGAGCAACAGTATCGACGTAACGGCGAGAAAAAGTATTGCACTGAGATACCCTTAGTGACTGCGGAAGGAGTGACACTGAAACTTTTGGCAAGTCTGCGTTGTGTTGGGGGTGTGGGAGACGGCTGAGGCTGATCCCTACTGCTCGACCTGTCCCAACCGACACCCCCGCTGCCAGTGCCGCTGTTTCCCGACGTGACGTTGGACACGCAACACTCCTCCCAGCAGCATGCCTGTGAAACTCCTAAAACATTCGCGACAATGTGCAACCGCCACCAGGTAACAAGCGGACAAGCCGACAGGTGTGCGAGTGTCTCATAGGTAGAAACGAATTTCAGGAAATATACATTCAACACCGCCTAGCCTCTGTGTAATAATTTACAAGTTACAGCATAGCCTTCGAGGGTAGATCACGAATTTAACGTTCCGAATCGGATCGACAGCCTGGACTTACCCAGAAAAGCATCGACTTGACCCGCTATGCCTTTTACAGCTTTCAGAAATATCTGCGGCAAACTTTGCAGACACGGATGCTGGCACGGATCTATGACGTTAGGGCTGGCGATAGCGTACTGCAGAAATGCTTGCGTTTGCGAGACGACGGCGGGTCTGCACAGGTCCACGGGATCGCCGATGGTACGCAACAGCCTGTACCATGCCTGCGCCACCGCCTCGTCCGACATGGTAGGTGATACCAGTTGCGTGTCTTCCTCGCCTATGAATAACAGAGTTTTGCTCATCATAGTACAGCACGCTACAAACAACGTGCAATCTCTGTTAAACGAGGCGTGCACTCTATTAGAGACACATACTTATTTTCAATTCGGGAAACATCGGCCCGTACATAATGTGCAACAGCCTCGCCGTAAGAGCGAGGCACACGCGATTCCACTGTTCCACCAGAGCCAATCTGTGACGCCATCGCAGGCAGGATTCTCGTAACGTTCGCCACAACGGAGGTGAAGGAAAACTGCGTTCGCAGGCGACCAGCCAGACCTAAAAAAAAAAAAATTATTCTCTAAGTTTACAAACGTCCATGTCGTTAATCGACCAGTATTCCCGTACCTCTAGCAATACACCGAGCACCCTCTCGCACAATTGTTCTCCCGCATCCTCTCTCGTTGCCGGTGGTGCTAACAGCGCGTCGTTAATACCGATGAGAAATAATAACAGACTCTCCCAAGTTTCTCTCTCTAGAGTCGCTGGGCCTCTCGCGATTTGCTGCAAAGTCCTGAGTACTCGATGACACAGGACAGCTTGCCGATTTATCGTGTCGGTACCTAGAAATATTGATCAAAGGGTAACGTATCCCACAGATATCCAATATTGATACAAGAAACACACATTTTGCTAATGTGTATTCGCGGAAAAGTCATATATATCATGGATTACCTAGATCCTGATACAGAAAAGGCCAGACTTTGGGAAAGAAAATGAAATTTTATCAAAGAAATCGGACGAGCAACTTTGACGTACGTAAAGAAAACCCAAGTCTTGTCTCTCACCTTCCCCTTTTCTCGGCACGAACAGATTGTAAAAATGACTTATAATCTTCCTGGCATAGAAGTTCGGGTCGTCCACGATCGGTCTGGGCACAGAGATCTTCGGCGTCGAGTACAGAGCGGACAGCCACTCGCAGTATATGTTCACGCAATCCCTGACGGTGTCGTGCTCGGCCAGCGGCAGCGACAGGCCGAAGCATATCACCTCCATGCACCATTGAACTTCCCTGTCGGTGGAGAGCGGACTGGGTTCTCCCGCCTGGGTGATGCCGAGATTTGCGGCGAGTTGGCGGACTATGGACAGCGCGACCTCCTTCCCCGCGCCAGGGGGGAACTTCTCCAGCACGCTCTGGCTTTCCTCCGAGCCTTGTTGGATCAGAGTGCTCAGCGAGGCCCATTCTGAATACATCCCTCCTTGGGAATCCTGAAGACACGCAAAGACATTAAGTTTTCCTCCCATTTTTGATAACTTTGGAGAATCAGAGGCACCAAGTACAAGATAACTGAGATTAAGCACACAAGTGTGACTGCAAATAGTATGTAAATCGAGACGTGTGATTCCCATGATTAAAAATGAACGTAACCAAGTGGAAAATTTGTCAGATATAAGCACCTTGAGATTAACTCTGTTGAATACGCCTAAATTCATAGATTATTACACGCCTATACGTCCTATATATATTCAAGAAGCAGCTTTGGGGACAAGGTTGAAAACTGGAGTTGAGCGATCGTTATCAACATTCGCGGTCCAAGGTAGAATTAAGACTTCGTGCGGTCCATCTCTCGGCTGGCGTGCGTCGTCGGGTCGCCGATCAGTCTCTCTCTGACATCCCGCACGTTTGACAGCTGACTCTTGACAGTGACTTCGACAGTCAACACGTATTGTACATACATACATACAACTGTTCCTTGTAGCTGCACTACGTTGTACCTTCTGCACTTAAAATGAGACAGATACAGAATGAGACGTTGAAAAAAGATAGAGGGAAAATGAGGAAGAGATGAGAAAAGTTCGGCTGCAAAGAGCAAGTGAACCTGTTTGGAGTGCAGAAAGGAAATAATCCTCACCTTTTCGTTCATAACGAACGATTTCAAGAATAGGTACTCTGGTTTATTAACGCAGTCAACAAGGATTTAACAAAAAAAAAATTTTATTCAGTTAACAATCAATAAGCCTGCAAAGATTTAAGTATACGAGTTATTAAAAAGAGAAAAGCAAAAGAGAAGGTGATAAAATAAAAAATTCTTCATAGCTTTTTTAAAAACTCCACAATTTTATTTTTCTTATTTCATTAAAAAAAAAGGCGTTTTATCGAATTTGAGGAGAATAATCGACTCTGATTGGTCGATTTCTCACTAATTACGACTCACACGGACGCAGGTGGACGCAGTGTGAACCTTCCATAAGGATGGCCGAGACGGAGCACGGAGCGTCATCTGCTGATGGAGACGGCAAGACCGGCAAGAGACATCGTGTGACTCCGCGCACTGTGTATTTGACTGTACGTGACAACTCCATTCCTTTTCCCTTCTCCTCCCGCGCATATACATATATATGTATGTATATATATACACGCATACACCTCCTCTTGGTACGTGCATCTAAATCCCGAAACGAAAAACATCGGCAGATGGCTCGAGATCTATGTTGATGATTAATAATCCCCACGAGTCTGAGAAATTGATGGTAGCCGAGCGGCGGAAAAGAAGCGGAGTAGCGACGGCGTGACGACGGCGGAGGCGTTCAGCAGTAAGTGCCGAGGGAGTACCGCGAGCGACGTGCGGCTCGGCGCCCGACCGGGATCGCTCCGCGATCGTTAATCGAATTTCGTCTTTCGTTTCGTCGTCTCGGCGTCGCGCGCGAGCGAGCGACCGAGCGAACGAGAGAGAGAGAGTGAGAGAGAGAGCGAGAGCGAGCGCGCGAGAAGGCCCCGTTCGTCCCCCGTGCGCGTCGGAGTGGCTCGGAATATGGCGTTTGTTTCGGTGCACGTTATCGCACCGTCGCGGGACACCGCCGCCCGCCGCAGCTGAATCCTCGGGGCCCCGGATCTCCGCGCGAGGGGGGTAGGCGATAATATATCGCGCTCTCACGCCCCCCCTGTCGATGTCCCCCCGTAGGAGGCACTCGCGGGGCACCCTCGTCGTGAGACCGAGCGAGCGAGCGCGCGGCGCGCGCGTGCAACAGCAGCAGCAGCAGCCTGAGCAGCCCGCCTCCGTCATCGACGAGGCACGAGGAAATTAGATTGCGTCATTATCCGCCGTATCATATACCCTGCGATGCCGAAGAGGTACCACGAGACGAGCGCACAATGACGTCCCGCAGTTACACCAAGTCCTACAGCCGCAAGGTCAGCAGTGTAACGCCCGGCAGCATCCAGTTCGACAAGCTCTTCCGCGAGAACAGCAACCGGCCGTCCGCCGCCAAGTCCGCGGGCACCGTCGGCAAATGGGGCATCACGTCCTTCACGTCCATCAGGAGCACGAACATCAACGGTACGCAACCTTTACGCGCTGTTTACGTCGCGATGTAGTAGCGGCAGCCACGACGGACCGCGACAGCGCTTTCCTGGCGATCAAGCCAGCTTATCGCGCAGGGAAATATCTCGTGCAAGGCGTACAAAACAGCTTTGTAAACAATTAGATTCTGGCTCTGTACGCTGTCCATGCTGACTGTCAAATTTTTTTACATTGAAATATTTGGAGATGAATCTGCCATGTTTACAATTGAAAGAGAGGAAGCTTTGTAAATTTATAATTATACGTGAAATTTTTGTATCTGGAAAGAATGATGGCATGCTAATAATGCGTAACCTTGATCATAACATGAGCATAACAGATTTATAACTCCATTTCTACCAAGATGCAGATTAACTTTAATTCTCGGTTTAACTTACTTTTGATCTTTTTATCTAAGTTCCAAGAATTAGAAAAAGACAAAAAGTAATTTAAACCATGATTAAAATTAATCTGCATTGGTGGAAATGGACGTTAGTGTTTTTCCTATATTTGTAAATTCTATAAATTAATCTGTATCGTAAAGTTGTGACTAGGCATAATTTATTTCTGTAACGTAAAAATGATACAAATTGACAGAATTTATTTTTAGAAGCTGGCACAATCGATTGTTGATCTTACGCCAATGATATAATTTCAACGTTAAATGGCAATGATACCAAATGGCTCCATTCTCAGCGGAGTTTAATTTAGAAACTTGAAAATTTAATAGAATGATTCCACAGTTACAATATTATATATAAAGTATAAGATTTTTGTATTTTATACAACGTTGTTTATGCACAAATGCATATTTTATTTTGTCATATTAATACATAAACGCTTTTCCTTAATCAAAATTTTTCTCTAGAAGAACTCTGATTTAAATTAATACTGTTAGAATTATTTAACAAACCATCTTCGGTTGTTATTAACGGCGGGAAAATATGTGATATAATATTTCGAATTTGTTCCACTTTCAGGGAGGAGAGATGATATACATACTTTCGGCGCGAAGAGAGTGAAACTCGATTATGGGAATCAGAATCGCGTGAATCCCGGAAAGGATCCGTTCTCCTTCGAGACCGATCCGGACAACAAGTCGGACGCGTCCCCGGCGGTTGTCAAGCCGAAGAAGTTCTTCAAGAGCCGAAATGTCCCGCCTGTGGTGGAAGAATCTCGCCAGGATGTGGCAATTTACAGACAAGTACCTGATTCGCAATACGGGAGGGCCCGTGCTCCGAAGCAACCCCCGCAGCAGCAGCAGCCAGTGCAGAAGCAGCAGCAGCAGCAACAGCAGGCTGTAACGAAAACTCCAATTAAGAAAGTAGTAGAAACTTTAGATAGCACCGGTACGCCCGATACCCCCAATCGGGAGGAGAGCAAACCGCCGATCGTCCTGAGAATATGCAAGGGTACGGCGCGATTAGTTTGCGGGGACGTGCACCAGGACGCTCAGGAGTCGCCCGAGACCGACACCTACAGGATCTCCACTCCCCTCGCTAGTCCCTCGAAGGTGGACATCGAACGTAAGACGTTCAATACGGAGACGACGCTCAAGTCCGATCATAGATCCTTGCGCGCGCATCAACCCGTCGTCTCCACGGTGTCGATCCCGTTGGAGAATTCGGACATGCGTAGGACCACGCGTAGTCGCGCCAAGAATCTGCACCTGGACACGACGGCGACGACCTCCGTCGTGGCGCCGCCGTCGACGACACCGGTCACCCCCAACTCGCACGGCTCCGGCCTCTCGCTGACGCTGCGAAAATCGGTGACGGACTCCAATAACACCCTTATCTCCCATTACGACATCGTTAAGACTGACTGCAGCTCAACGTATTCGTCCAAACCGACGATCGAGCCGTTGATCGGACGCGATCAGCCACTGCCAACCACGACTCAAGAGCTGATCGATATACTGTCGAGCGATTCTGACGCGAGACCACCACCACCGCCGCCGCCATCGCCGCCAGCACCATCGCCACCGTCGCCGCAAGTAGCACCACCGGTAGCCTTAGCCGCCGGTATCGACGACAATGACAATGACAATGACAATACGGAGAACGCGGAAGAGGCAACGCCGGAGAGCGTCGCGAACCAAATTGAACAACATTGCTCCATAGATATCCCGAGCGATGAAGCTGCGGTCGAGCCGGTCGTGGTCGCGCAGCAAGCCGAGGCTGAGCCGGAGGCAGAGCCTGATCTCGAATCGGAGCCGGAGCTACCTACACGCGGACCGACCGAGACCGTCGCCACGGTCGAGATCGCGGCCAAGACCTTGGTCGATCAGGATTGGTTTTCAGGTAGTGACGACAGTGAGGGTGCCAGTGGGAACGCCGAGACTGAGATCGCGCTGCACGTGACGAGCACGATCTCGGAGTCGCAGACCTCGGACCCGCCGTCGACGAGCGTCTCGTCGACCAAGCCCGCCGCCGCCAAGAAAGGCAGTATCTTCAAGAGCCGTTCGACCGGCGCGACGAACGGGAACAAGAGACGGGCGTTGTACAAGCACAAGTGGTGCGACAGCGACAAGGAGTCCACCGCTGCGGATACGCCTAACACCGGCAACAGCACGCCGACCACCGCGTCCGGTTCCAGCAACGCCGGACCGGTGGCGTACGAGGAAGAGTTCGAGCCCTCGCAGTTGACGAGAGTCGTGACTTATCCCGCGGCCGATGCGGATTTCGAGGACGATGCCGACATGGTCACGAGCGTTCGCTGCGGCAAAAAAGTTAAAGGGGTGAGTACCCTACGAACAATACAGTCATTATATCTTGGAATATTGATTGTTTCTTTTGGTGGATCCATTATGATACAGGGATTTTATTGATAAAAGATTTTCATAAAGTCTTTTTGTTATAAATTACAATTAGTGAGCGGGTTTATTTCCCGTCTCCAGTTATATAAGACATCGAATTATACATGTAAAAAAATGCATTGTAATCATACCTTGTATAGGTGATTTATTTCGACTCGACGCATATATTTATTTAGCTTTTACCTTGCCTTGCAGTTCTATACTGTAGTAAAGAATGTAAAGAAAGCTCATCAGATACAAGAAAGTGGAGAATTCCAGGAGTTTAATGACGATGTGGAATATATCTTGGACACTTTGAGAGAGAATAATCCGAATGCTACTCGTTGCCTTTCAGCCATACGATTAGCAAGTAAATGTATGGCTCCTGCATTTCGTATGCACGTGCGTGCTCATGGAACTGTTGCCAAGTTTTTTAAAGCTCTTCATGATGCAACTAAAGATCAGGTATAGACGCTCTCTCGCACACGACGCAAAGTTCTATTCATTTCCACGTATTTCCGTACACATTTACATGTTGTGTAAATGCTTTTCTTGTTCATTCGATTTTTTAACATACAATATAATTAATTACATTATTGTTGACATTATTGTTACTATTTGCAGAGTCTTGGTCTATGCACAGCTACAGTAATGTTTGTATTAAGTCAAGATCGTCTGGCTATGGATCTTGATCGCGATTGTTTGGAATTAATGTTAAGTCTATTAGAATCTGATGCCAGCCATAAGGATGCTCTTGACGATTGTGGTCTCAGTCATGCTGAATTACTGAAAAACAAAGAAAAAGTGCGTCAGTTATGCGCTGATATACAAGCTCAAGGACACGCTAAGCATCTAAATCTAGATAATATCACCGTAAGCAATTTTTTAACACGCATTCTGCATTCATTCATATTTATTCTTGTACATACGTACGCGATTTACGTACCTTTGTTTCTGTTTTCGAATAATTCGGAAATACGCCGCTTTTAACAGGTTGGTCAGCTCGCTATGGAGACACTCTTGAGTCTTACGTCAAAGCGCGCTGGAGAATGGTTCAAAGAAGAATTACGAGAATTAGGTGGCTTGGAGCATATTGTAAAGACAATTCGAGAATGTCACCGTCATATTAACAGCCAGAATGTTTTAAGCTCTGGCTGGACAGATCCTTTATTAGACAAATTACGTAAAGTTGACAGATGTTTACGCGTCTTAGAAAATGTAAGTGCTTTTTTTTTCCCTCCCGATATTACGTTCGCCGTATTACAAAGAAAACTGTGACTAACGACGAGAAATGACGTTTTTTTTTAGGTAACTCATATGAACGAAGAGAATCAGGTGTATTTATTAAAGTACGGAGAAGGAATATTAGTAAGCACGTTAGCTAGTTTATATCATCTATGTGGACAAGAGATTCCCGTTCATCCAACAACAGATCCAAGCGATAAAAGTTCTACCGGTGCTGTTGTTAGAGAATGTCTTTTTGCAATTATTAAAGTTCTCATCAATCTGACCCATCGGTTCAACGGACAATGTAAGATTTTTTTTCTCGATATTACCAATTTTTGCAATTATTAATGAAAAATTAAGTAGTTGTCTACGATTTTTCTACTCGTTCATTGATTATATTGTGTTTTCATTATTAATTTAGTCTAATAACGTATTTTTTTACGCAGCCTTTGGTAGCAAATCAGTTGGCGCACAAGTTGGCGTTTTGGACTGTAGCTTGTTTCTTTTATTACGCGTGCCTGAATCACTCCCGGAAGAAAAGCGGTTTGACATGATGATGTTGGCATTAATCCTATTGATAAATTTGGTGGAACAGTGTGACGATAACAAGCAACTTCTCATTGACTCCAAGGCACCTCCGTCGTCAGAAAATATTTTTGATGGTAGGTATTTCTCTTGCTTTGATTGACACTATTTCAATTTTAGCGCACGTGGATCGTAAAAATACAAAACCGTTGTTTTCTATCTAAATAATTTCAGCGGAGGAAAACGGCGTGGCGTCGTTGATCGATTTGTTTTACAAACAAGAGGAACTTGCGCGTGCCGAGGAACAGAAAACGGACGCGATCCTGGACGGAAAGAAAGATTCCGAGCAAACGGAAACGGTATCGACCACTACTAAATCTCAGGAAGAATTTATCGAAGAGACCGTTACAAAATGTTCGTATTACGTTTACTTCCGCGCATGCATATATATCTACCTTTATATATTTCCAATATTGCTCAAAGTTTGTTATATATTAATAATAATGCATAATACGCGCATTTTAAACAAGTCAGCATTTAACAATGTATATTTTGACAAAATTGTAAAAAAAATACTGTATTTATCGCTCTATACATCTCATTAAATACAATTTCTAAAAAAAATTAAATTCTTATATACATCTAACATCAGAAACAATCGACAAAGATTTTTAGAAGTCTTATTAAAGGAAAGAAAAATCCAATATGCTCGTGTTTTTTCCGAGATATAATCTATATGTTTTATTAGAACGTCCAGATGCATTTGTGATTTATGATTGTTATTTCACAGTATTACAGAAAGCTGGACGACATATGGAGCATACGTTGATCGGATCATACGTAGTACTGTTACTTGGATACTTAATAATGGACAACAAGGTAAAGATTAAACGCGATATAAGTGAAAAGTACGATTAATCCCTGTGTTACACATCTCGTCCATTAATACATTAAGGAATAAGCACGGGCCTTTTTTTTTTTTTCTTAGTAAATTTTCGTTTCTGTTGTCCAGGAGTACGAGTCGCTGGTACGAAGTAGACTACCGGACAAGAACTTCGCCACTATGGTATCTGTACTTCAAAAGTTCTTCAACTTCATGAATCTGACGGCATCGGTAATTATCCCGTTGTAGAATATCCCGCATATTACGTCCCGTTTTATCCTGGGAAAATGCGTGGCAACTTTTATTCACGCGCATGTTTCGTTTCGCAGAACGAAGTGAGTAGTTGCGGAATCGCCGCTACCGAGAAGGTAATCAAGTTCCTAAAGATGTCGGACGCCAGAATCGAGGAGGAGAAGAATGAGTTACCATTGCCAGCGTTAGAGGACACCAACACGATGCTTGACTTAACTTCATCTTGATCGACATGTTATGCACACACCTGACAGCATTTCTTTCATCTGGCGTACACGAAGAGCCAAAGTTGTATTTTTTTTTGTCCGACGAAAAAGAAATTCTTTTTATTTCAATATGGATGGACTTGTTTCATATTCATATATTTTGATACATATTTATTCACTTACGTAATTTATTGTTGTAGGTTCTCATTATTATATTATTATCGATCCGATTTATTCCCTTATTTGCAATGTGGAAAGCTAGCTTGTATTCTAGTTTTTAAGTCTGAAATATAGGATAGCTTTGAATTATGTATAGGGACACACATCTTGTAATTATAATTGCAGGGCACTTATCGCAATTGTATCGTTTACTGACTACACGATATCACTAATAATTCGAATTAACGAAGCAGCCACCTTTTTTTAAAACTTGAGAGACTGCCAAGAAGAATTGAATGACACACGATGAACTTCTTGCCAGCCTATACCTGATTTACTTTCTGTATACGAGATCCGAGATCTTAAACGTTGTACAATCGATTTTTAAAATGATGAAAAGTGTCTAATACGTTTTATAAAACCTATTAAATGATCGACTAGCATTAGTCACATTGTACGTTGTGACCGGCTGAAAATTCAACATAGCATTTTATTTTCTCTTTCTTTTTTTTTTTAAATGTGTGTAAGGTTCTTTTAATATTAAAATTATATTATGACATAAGCCTTGTAAATGTAAATTTATAAATTATAATTGTATCTTATATCCGCAGTTTCGAATTATTGGATAATCCCATTTAGCGTTGAATACAAACGTAAGACGGATTACACGGTTTGACGCCAGGCGAAGAGTATATGAGAGATATTCACGCGTTCTATACAATAAAATTTAAAAGGGACTAAAGGGAGCAGGACACGCACGTAATACGTTGTTACATTTGTAGTAAAATCGTCTCGTTTATGCGGGGCGTATATATGAAGAATCTATGTAGAATAAAATACCTTTTTTAAATATACGTTTTAAATATGTTATGGATTATATTTGTCCCGTTTACGTAGGATCGATTGCAACAAAACGTGGTCTTGTTAATTTCTGATTGTTTTTTCTTTATATGCTTGTTACAAATCTTTCTTTTTTTTTTAAACCGCGAAGATGTAGCATCAATATTGCAAAATTTTGCAATTGTACGATGTTCTCTCTTTTTCTCTCCCCTCCCTCGTAATTCCCCAGAGAATATTACTACCCCTTTCTCTTCGCCCTCTCTCTTTCCCGCTCTCGCTCATCTTCGAGAACCTTCTAATTATTCGAGAACGTCGCACATGCGCAAACGAGGGAGAGAGAGCGTCCATCACTTTCGTCGCCCTCATTCCCCCCGCGACCCGCGACGGTGTGCACGACAGTGTCGCGGCGTCGTTTGCACCACGTGATTCTGTATGTATGAAACACAATTGTACCGCAAAATCTCGTGAGAATGAACGCAATTTGGAATCGGTCTGTTTTGGAGCGGCCGCCATACGCAACGTGGCAGATCGGGCCGCTAGACGCCAAGAAGAAGGGTACAATTGTCTTTATTTATTTTTGCGTGCACGTGGCGCGGCACGTGGTCCTCTGCGCGTTCCCCGCCAAGCGTGTTTTAGCTTCATTTTTCCGCCCGTACTAAGATTATTTTGCAATAAGGACAATAGTTGCTTTCCATTTACATCAAAACTCAGATAATTCTCACTTGTGATGTCATTCTGTCTTTATTATTCATTAATTGCCAAAAAGGATAGAACGACGTCACAAGTGAGAATTATCTGAGTTTTGATGTAAATATGGAAAGCACCTAATGATATACTTACAAATTTTCATTGTTCAATTAATTATGATGCAATAAATAAAAATATCCACTTTGTTACCACTTTTTCGTAAAAAACGAGATAGAAAATTAAAGAGCACGATAGGAACAAGAGACAGAAAAATGCAAGGAGTATATATTCGCGAATCAATATATTTGTCGCTCGGAACTGTGCTCTCTAACGCGGCTTGCGAAAGCTAACGATATAATTACGTTAAAGTACATTTGTGGGTAACTGGTTAATTTTCGCTTTTAGGCGTGGACGTAACTCGATTCGAGGCCGCACTGACCACGGCTGTCCACGATCTGGAATCGATGAGCGATCTGCACGTGAACGCCGCGGTCCTGAGCCGCTTGATCTATCGGATGAAGAGCAAATTTCGAAACGACAAAGGCTTGAAGTACATGATCAAGCTGAACAAGGCGTTGCTCAACTATTACAACATGTCTCTGATGAAGGAGTACGCGACTCTGCGATCCGACCTCCAAACGGACGACGGCCGGTACGTTTTGCCGAGCCGACAAATTCTGGAGTACGTGCTCGTGAGAACGCAGGGCTTCGGTAAGCTCATGGCCAGAATGGAAGAGATCTCGCGGCACGCCTCGCACTTCCTGAGGGCCAGAATCAAATTGGGCCACGCGTGGACCGTTGCCCTGGTCGCTTATGCTACCACGAGCAGAATTTGGTACTGTCTTTACAAATGATTCGTTTGTAAGTTCAGAATCTCATTCTCTTTTTCATTCGGACAGTAATAATGCATTTCTTTGCAGGTTCCACGTGAGGAGTGTGATCAAGAAATGTTGCAAATGGTACGACGAGCTGTATCGGTGTGCGGAACAGTTTCAGTATGTCGGTGCAAAACCCTGGCTTCCGACAGATCAGAGCTTACCGCGCAACTTAAAATCGTGGCTCTGTTTGGACTGGCTAGATACAGATACGACGAGGTACGTTTGTAATTGCTTAATACTTTGATTCGCAATATAGAAGAAATTGTTGAGGGTTTTGTGATACTTTAGCAAACGTAAGTCACAAACCTGGCAGAGGATATTTGGTGAACCTGCGATCGAATGTAACGATACTGAAACAACTTTTGTCATACCCGATGAAGAAACTGGTGGCTCAAGACTGACAGAAGTCGGCGTTGCTTCGACAAGTAATGAATTAGAAGACAAACCGGTATCGAATAATGATGTTGGAGGTATGTACCGATTAGAACGGTTGTTATAAGTATCCTTATTGTATATACATAGATACAATGTAAAAACTAAACAAGATTTGAGGAAGTAAATGAATTTTTATCAAGTTTAGATTTAATTATCTCACCATTTTTAACAAAAGAAAAACGTTACGTCTTTCGGCGAGAAAGAAATATTTTATTTACAGCACACGGATTAAATATACCTGATAAAAATAATCGCTATTATTATAATCGCTTATAAAAGTACACATAGAATAACAGATAGTAACGGAGAAACCATTTTGTTACATATAAAATACATATGCTGTTGTAATTTTACATGTAAATAGTAATGCTTGTTATAACTAATACTTGTTATAAAGTATCATAATTTGTAATTATTTTTTTATTTTTCTAGAGCTGAAGTTTTGACAAGTTCTTTTATTTTATTCTGTAGCGTTATTGTACCAAAGCATGGCTATGTTAAAGCAATTTAATTTGATATCTCAAGTCTTTATTTTTTTCTGTCATTACATAAATAATTAAATATTTAAATCTAAACTTGATAAAAATTAAAAGCAGTATACTATAGCTAACATACGGATGAATAGGCAAAAATAAATTTTTTCTTATGAATTAATATATACCATTTAATTTCTATCTTGTAGAAGTGATAGATCGAGAGGCTTTTGAGAGAAGCCTTCCATCAAATGATAGGTCCATAACGACAAAACGTAAACACACGGATACTAACGAGAGGGGAAGCCTAAAGGAACCAAAAAGGAAAAAAAAGAAAAAGAATAGAAAATAATATACCAAGAAGGTAAATCTAATCATGTGATTACACAGTAGCAATATTAATTAAACAATATTAATTTAGTAATGTGCAAGTCAAAGCAATAGATTCAGTACACTTGTATACTTGTATAATACTTGTATGATATAAAACTGCCAAGCTGTACATAATTGTAAATAAAGTAATTTAATTATGTGCAAGTCCAAAGAAATTTGTGCAATAGTATTCAGTTTTAACATAATTTGCACAACGTGAGGCCATCCTACTGTGCATGATGTGTATATTAGATTATAATATAATTGTATATGTATATTTAAATTGTTAATAAGTTGTATATGTTTAAACAATATGATATACAGCTTGACAAAAAGAAAATGTAAAAATCCAAAGGACTATAATTTATATAATTTTTCAATGAAGACATTTTTCATTTTATACGTGCGTATCGTGAGTACATATTTAATTTCTTAACTGACGCTAACTAATCGAGAATGCGCTCTTGGGTATAAAATCGGACGAAAGAGACTTTTGTACTGCATAAAGAATCATATCCGAATATCTGCTGCTGGGTAATACCTTTAATTTTAGTTACGAGCATCGACAAGTCGACAAGCGTGTTATCGAAGGGGAGAGATAGCAGGTGAAATTAAAGGCGACATGTAACTTTAGTCGAACGGTGTGCGTGGATTAAATAACATTGAGCAGTAACTGGCTTATATATCGTGGGATTTTCCATAATTGTGTAAACGGTGCGATGATTAAGCGTCGTAGGCCGGGTAAAGGTGGACCGCGTATCTCCGCGGTCTCATCCAGAATTTCAGGCCGAAGAAGTCGGAATGTCTCTTCCGCATGTTGTTGAAGCAGCAGGCGCGGAACTGCCGGGTACCGCATATGTCGGCGCATTCTCGTCCGCACTGGTCGCAGGGAACGGTCTCACCGATACTCCATAGCGCGCACACTGCGATAAAACAAGTAAAATTATTGAAAGATGAAAATCGTCAGAAATTAACAGTTACACGCCATTGCTTTCTCTATATTTAAATCTTATATGATTCTCTAAATCTTATATGATGTAGCACGCACATATCGTCAATGCATTATTAAGTATAATGATTTTACATGTTCTTTTTTTTATTATTATTCTTTTATTATTTTATATGTTTTATAAACTGACATGCTTCTAAAAACAATCATATATTGCAGATATTTCTGAATTTTTCCAATATAAAAAAGCCAAACAGTATAATGTAGACGATCAATAATTAGAAACACAATTTTTATCGCACGTCGGATGGAGAAAGTTGTAAAGCGCGTAAAGAAGTTTAATATAAATGCAAGTATGCTACAACGCGATGCATTTATGGATGTGACGAGGAGGCCGTCGATATCCGGTAATGAATGTCAATCAAGTAATTACAACTTATCGTATTATGCAGGCCAATGCATATCTTTACGGAACTTCCTTAACTTTCGGAATTTTTATTCTGGACTGTCAATATCAGCTGATCATTTTAGCGAACAATTTCTTAATTTAATAACTCCGTATCATGAAAATACATTGATATATTGACGCGTTAAAAATTTATAATATAAAAAAAATTTTATTATCTTTTTTTTTATTATCTTTCTAGAAAACTTAAGTATATTTAGAAAAGTATAAGAGTCATATATCAGTACTTTTGCACAATTAAAAACTTAAATAACTAAATAAAATTAAGTATTTTTATGGATATTATTTAATTATGAGGCGCAGAAACAAAATATGCCGAGGATAACCCAGTGAGAAATGACCCGTCGAATCGATGTCTATAGACGTTTAATTAGACGTCTATAGACGTCGGCAGACGTCGATTCGACGGGTCATTTTTCACTGGGAAGCTTCAAAATTGTAACTTACTTAATTTTTAATTTACTTCAACACGCGACACATAGTTTAATTTAAATTTAACTGTTCAGAATTATTGCTTTCTAACATAATACTGAAATATTAATAAGAGCATATTTTACGTTTCACTTTTTTAACGTTTGTCAATTTGTTTCTCTGAAGATGTATAAAGTAATATATATCGTACTTTTATTCTAAAAATATTACTTTGTATATCTCTGCTTGTGACATCTTATTCTAATGTGTTTTCAAGTCAATCGGCAGGACACAATTCTCTTCTCGTTTGTTCGCCGTCAGGTCAGTTTTACAAAATTGCTTAACTCCATCGTGTCCAAAATATCGTGAATTATACGAAGGCATTGAACAATTAGAAAACTATTTTTAGCATAAATTGCACTGCAATAGCTCACTGTTTCTGAGAGATCAAACGTGAAATCCAGCGATACCACTTCGTGCTAAGACGGTTGATCCGATTATCCCGTAAACACAAAAGAAAGCTATAGATACCGCAATTATTAACTTCACTTAGCTTCCCTTGGAAATGTCAGCTATTAGCGCACTTTATTGCAACAATTAAGTATTGTGCGCGATATTATGTGATCATATATTAAAAACGGCACAAATTCGTGTATATTACTGCAAGAATCTTTCTCTCTCTATCTCCTCTCTCAAAATCTTTTGTAAAATGAAAAATCACACAAAGAAAAATAGATTTCTCTGATATGCAATTTTTCTAAAATTTTAAATAATATTTATAAAAAATATTAATCCTGTTTAGCGCATCTTCAGTATCAAAAACAAGAGAGATGTGTCATATAAATACATTGCAGTTATTCAAATAAAAATTAGAATTTCCTACAAACAAAACCAACGTAAAACAGGTAAAATTTCTGTAAAGAGTGTTTTAAACCTTTCAAATATTCAAATAGAATGAATAAAAATATTCGTTGACATAATAATGGGTAACTAACGTGGAAAGAGAAAATAAAAAAGCATATTAGATAATTTAGAATACGTGTAATAAGTTATACGTAATAAAGAAAGATTCCATTACCTGCGAAAAAAAGTAGCATCCAAGAGTGATTCATTTTTATGAAGTATTCGCGATTAGGAGCGACCACAAACTCGGCACGACGATAAGCCTGATGACTTCAGTTGAGGATGTAAACGCTGTGTTTTAAACAATGAAAATATTATGTTAGTGACAACTTGACAAGCAAAGATTTTTGAAAACGACGCTATTATTTGTTAATAAAATTTCAGTAAAATGTAACACAAGTCTTGAATAATGTCACTTTAATACACGAGTGTATGAGTATTTCCCAAATTATATTTTGCTGAGTCGCAATCGTATTTTTAACTTTAATTAGAACATTAGCACCTTCAATAAATGCATATTTATTGATGATACTATTAACGCGATTATTTCAACTCCATATGACAAAGATAAGTTTATACGTATAAAAATAAAAAATAGATTCAATTGCTACATAGTCTTAGGAATCATAAAAATTATTAACAAATTTTTTATCGACGTATACGAACGTATAACACATTATCAGATTAGAAGTAGCGTTACAAATGAGAAAATCGAAAATAATTTTGATAATTATACATATAATAAAATTATAATCGAATTTAGCGATGATTAAGAAAGATACTGTCACAAACCGGTATGAATTATTCAGAGAGAGAGTTCCGCTGCGGGTGGTTACTTACCCTTCGCAGGTGAGTGCCGGGAAGCGAATGATAATCTTGAGGGGTACCGCTACTTTTTTCTAGGTATCATCCCCACTTTCCAAGATTATCTCTCCCACCCCCAACGCACGCAAACGCTTCGTCGTTTCGATATAGCAATGTCCGTTGTACGCAGAACATTAAATCGCGAATGTTTAATCATTAAAGTTAATCGGACAATCAAGTCCATCAAATTCGAGCGACGTATATCCTACATTGTACTTTTGGGAAAATAAAAAAGCGGGCTAAATAGACGATCAATTTAAGATAAAGTGCTTTTATTTGTTTTATTATATTATTATTTTTTTAGAACTAGAAGAGTCGATGCTCGAGCTTCGAAAATTTAAGTACATTAAATATACCTGTTTATTATTTCCCCGGAGCACAATTTGCGGTTAAACCAGTCTACTTTAATTCTATGTGAATATTAATCTAAGAACGGTAATATAAAGGATATCGACAAGCAACATCGCGTAGTGCCTCCCTTGCGAAACATTTGTGCGATAGGGTAGTAATTGCGCTGAAACATACGGAAGGAATGTACATTTAATAAACGTCTCGTTTACTCGACGAATTAAAAATAAAAGTTTAGACGTGTTCAAATCTTATCACGCCTGACTTTCAACAAAATTGCCAAAAAATAAATTTTGTCGAGCCTACATTAATATTTATAATTTATCGATGTTGTTAGAAAAATATACTTTGCCGCCGCGATCTTGATAACAAAGCAGATTCCTATTTTATTTCTCCTCGTTCTTCAGTTTGGAAGTATAACACCCGACACAACGCAGAGTTAAGTTAACGGCAAAGGGACGCTCGTGGTTAAAGTGCAGTGTCTGTCGCATTGGAACGATTCGAACTGGGGTAGTAGACGATCCGTTCCCGGCGCTTGTACTCCGTTTCCGGGATCGACATCTCGCATTCGACAACGGCGGGGTCAAGCGTGTCCTCGACGACGACGGCCAGCGACGTTCGTGGGTCACCGTTGTGCCAGTCCGTCGAGGATCCCCAATCGCCCCCGCGATCGTTGCTCTCGATTCCCTCGACGTAGAGCTTCAAGGACGGCCGTGGTCGCGCGCCCGTTACCACGCACGTCAAGTTCACGTGAGTCTTGTTGTAGGGGTAAGTGCGCACCGTCATATCGCTTTCCGGTACTATAAAGAGAAAAGGCAATCAGTGTGAACGATCGATTGTGACGGCAGGCTGACGTTCCGGATAAATTTCATTGCTAAAATCCCTTCGTAAACTTGCCGTAAACGATCATCCTCGTCGAGTTGCTCGCTTCGTCCTGGAACGTGCTGATTGCGCACATGTATTCTCCCGTCATGTCTATCGTAACGGTCGTCAATCGTATCACCGAACGCGAATACGGATCCTGCAGATTTTCAGCTGGATATTCCGCGAGTCCTTCGATGATTCCGATATCTTGTGGCGGCACTGGGTGACATAAATGCATTCGTTACGACATGTCGAATTTAGATTGAAGAAATATAGGATTATACTTTTAGGGAGAAGAATTTCATCAAGCGGGATTTATAAGCGAAATTTTTTTGGAATAGAAAATTCACAATTTTTTTAAATAAAAGATTAATCAAGAAAAATCTCCGTCTCATTATATTTAGAAAATGTTAAAAGTTATCATTTAATTATTTTGCAACTCTTCTTATCACGTAATATCATTATTAAATTTCTTATAAAAATTATTAGTAAAATTTTTGTAATATTATTAAACATATAACTATAAATTAAGTAATTAAATAACTTAATTAATATAAAATACTTATTAAAGTATTTTAAAAATGATAGGTAACACTTAAATTATCTACATTAAAGTATATTAATAATTCGGCCTTGAGTATCTCACGCAACTCGAAAGAATTGAGTCGTCTCTTAAAAAAACCGCAATCGCGAAAAGTTAATATAGGCTCTACAAACTTAAATACCTCGTTAAACATCAAAGTATTTTTTCACGCGCCTTCTGACGAGGCAAAGCGTACGGTATTTCAAGACTTGTGTTTTAATTTTCTTGCTTATTACAGTCTCGCGCTGTATAAACTTCGAGCTGCGACATTTTTCCTTCTCACGGGTCGACCCGCATGTCGTTTCGAAACATCCAAATGTCGTTTCGCGACGTCCCTCGCGACAGTTCCGATGTAACGCAGTTGCCGATGCTCAGATAAATTTAATGACGCGCAGAAATGTACGCAAAGCCAACGTTGTAAGTTATAATAAGATCGCGTAGGAGGCGAAAGTGTAAATTACTCGGTGGAATCCACTGATAGATCTGATACGCTTCGTGAAACCATTTGATTACGAGTCCGTTCTCGTCTTCGTCAACCTCGTAGGCGCAGATCAGGTCCATCGGTCCGGTGCCGTTGCGCACGGCGAGCGGCACGTCCAAGGATTTTATCGAGGTACCGCGGGCCCCTGTAAAACATTTTTTTCGGCAATATACAGTTAAACGGACATGATTTCGAGTCGCGATATCGTTCGTTAACGACGAATCAATAATCGTCGATGATTAAAACCGATTAAAAAACGATCGTTCGTTCAACCGTTGTTCGCCCAAGTTCTAACATCTTTTTCAGCTCGTCGCACAATTTTCATCCCGCGTTTATTTTTAGAATTACAATTTCTTGGCTCGTACCGCGACATGGTTTAACGCGGGATAATCAGTGCTTAAAATTTTTATCAGTGCCGAAAATTAGAAGGAAATAAGTAATGAGACTTTCACGGATGGAAGTTAACGAGCGTCGGATAAAAGCTAATGGAAATTATTTCAGGTGGCGAGAATTTTACGTCGCGCATCATCCAGGAGAATATTGCTCCGCCGTATTCATCCCCCCGAGGATCGAGGAACACTTGCGAATCCGGACGGAGTTTACGCAGCACTTGCCGTTCGAACGGGAGCGTGAATCCCGCGGCGAATCGTCCGCGGATGTGACTTTACACACGTTTCTCGAATCACTCACCCAAGTAACATTCGAATATTAGGAGAACGATTATCGAGGGCGAGATCGTGCGTGCTAACGACGGCATTCTTTCCAAGGTCCCTTTTCACACTGGTGCACAATTAAATACGGCTCGGCTAACTCATGTTACACCATAGCCGATAGGATTCTGCGCAGCGTCATGTATCGCCTCCCTCGTGCTCTAATACACGTACGTTCCGCCACACCTGACCGACGTCTAGCATCTCGGTCGTTGCGTGGAGATGAGCGATGAAATCCGGATTTTGATGGAAGATACTTAAATCAAGAAGAGATTTTGACCTTTCCTGCGAAAGCGCGTTGTATACAATTCGAAAAGCTTCTTGAAAGTCCACACTGATCGACTCTCTAAAATGAAAAACGCAGAAAATTAATGAACTGAATTAAACTGAAGTCAAATAGACTCACAAAAAATCGAACTCATAAATTAAATATAGTTAACGGGGCCAAAAAGCGGAGCGTAACGAAGCAAATACATTGGAATCTTAAATCAACCTAATTAAAATTAACAGTAAAATTAATGAAATTACAAAGTATAGTCAGTGTGCTGCGACGAAGTTACAACAAGTGGTCGGTCCGGTTTCCACGGGATTCGTATGAGTATATAATCTCCGTGAACTACCTCGGTGAACACCTTATTCTGTTAAGTCTGAAAGTCAAAAGAGATGGATAGAATTTCTCTTCAGAGAAATGTCTAAAGTCTAAAGTTGCTCTTTATTCGTGAACATTAAAAGAATTTAAAATCGCTCTTTGGTTTAAATATTAATTTCTTATTCATATATATAAATAAAAAATATATTTATAATATAAATATAAATAAGAAACTCATCAAAAAATTATGAATATTATCATTGTTGATTATCATGCAATGCTTAAACCTTTTAGGTAAAGTTTGCTTTAGACGATAATGTGTATTAAAATGTAGAATACAATATTATTCATAATTTTATGTTCATAATGTATTGTGTAGATGCGAACAACACTCGAAAAGAAAAATAAAAGTAAAGAATTTCGGTCATCTCAAAGCGTAGAATCGAAGAATTTAAACATTACAGACTGCATTAATTAAGGCGTTATGTTAATTAACGTATTATAAAAACAAGATTAAGCGGTGTATGATGAATCGCTGTCGACGATTACAATTTTATTTTGTAATTACACGACAATTTGGTTTCCGATTGCAGCATGGAATTATATCGTAAGCTGCGGTTATATAGTACAAGTCGAGAGTAGGAAGTAAAAATACCTGTGAGCTGTTAATTTTGAAAGTGGCACATGGGAAAGTCTTAGGTATACCTCATAAATTTTTGTAAATCACTTTGAAATATAAATTATTCACATGACACGTCATTTGATTTTTTATTATATATATATAAAATTTCCTAATTAATTATACTATATAATAGGTTGGCCAATAAGTCCGTGCGGTTTTTTACTTATAAATGTTACTTATAAATAACCGTACGGACTTAATTATATTGGCCAACCCAAAATATATATTAATTATACAATACAACATGTATATTAGTTTTGATGTTATATTATTGTTTAATTAAATTAAGAAATACTTTGGAAAGTTATTTGAAGAGTTTCGAAAAATTGGCTGAATCACGCGAGCTTGAAGAAAATTCAAATTTTCATTATACAACACGAAACCTAACCTAACCTGAATTTTCAAAAATCGATCGTCAAAAATACATCTATAAATAGACAGGTGAAGCATTTGCGTTCCGATATTCATACTGACAGTGAATATCGGAACGCAGCCATTGCGCATAATGGCGGCAGGTTTGGCGGTTGAACCAATCAGGAGGCGACCCGTTTTGTTTTATCAGAATTGATTGGTTCAGGGGAAAAACTCCAGGAATCGGGGGTTGTGAGTGGCTGTGGTCAATCGGGACGCTCCCTTTATTTTTGTTTCGCGCATGCGGCGAGAGAAAATCTCCGGACCTTCCGGAAAGGCTCGAAATTCGAAAGTAAGAACAAGAGAAGTCGACTGCGATTTTACTTCAAATGGGACACTCGACGCGCTTCAGATCACTTCAGATTGAGCGATCAATCAACAACGGACGACACAGTTTCTGAAGAATCTAAAGGTTTAAATTTGATATTTTATACTCTGTTTTATTTATCTCTTAAATGTATTAAATTTTTGAAACGCTTTCCTCACGCCATACATACGTATGTATACATACACAAACACACACCCGAAAACACGACCCCCATACGGAAACCGACACGTTGCAGGCAACTAGAAGAAACAAACGATAGCCACTTTTTCTCTGTTCCATAGTGTCCATCCGTGATCCTCGTGGAGGCTAATTGGTTATCGTTGGGTCATCCCCGATGTTGCAAGTAGTTGCAGGACTTGCAAGTTTTGCGAGAGCCGATCACGTGGGCTTGTTGTCATTTGCAGAACAGTGAACGAAGTGGATGGACGCCGAACTCATTCGAGATCGTAAACCGTTCGTTGAAAGGGACATCGGACGCTGCAAGTACTGCGACAAACGACTCGATTCTCCTCGCATATTTTACACACCAATAGGATAAGCCGAGTGAGTGTCAGAAAACGTCGCGGAAAGTGCGTCCTACTGTCCTATGTTTGTTTATCTCTGTGAGTCTTGTCTATCTATGAATCATTCCTTTTTTTTTATGTTCGTTCTTCTCGCAGGACGCCGGATAAGCCGGGGAAGCGTGCGTATCCCGCTGTCTCAGCGTAATACGAGTGTGGCATCAAGTATCAGGAATCTAACCGCAAATCATCGGTGAGTTTTATGGAACACTGGAACGTTATATTTATTTTTATGATATAATTTAGGGCCTCGTATACAGCTTCTGAAGCTTATCGAGGCTCTCGCGTTCTCTCACCACGGCGATAGCGAGGATTGTAGATTTTTCCTTCCTGGTATTGTTAAGCGGTATACGTCGAAATAAATTAGTTTCTATCGTCGTGCGTTTGATTATAAATTGATTGGACAGATGTATCAAAGGCGAAATCGTTTTAATTTGTAAATTGATAAATATCGACGATATATAGAAATGTTTAATTTTTATTTAGATGTATACCGGACAATATTGCATTTCAATATGATAGTAGTAGAAGAATCTTGATAATATTTTGAAACAATTTGTCCGTATTATTATTATTATAAGTTATAACTTAGAATGGTTATTTGTGTTCTTACTATTTCTTGAAATATCTATCGTGCATACATGAAGAAAAAGTTCAATTCCAAATTAGATAAAATATAAAATTATTATATCTATCCGTATAAAATCTCTTATTTTAATTGTTGTATGTTAAAACTGCAATATACATAATTTCAGAGTGCACTGAGTTTTGAACACGAGGATCTGTGTTACTTACGACAATGAGTGACAGGTGGGATAGTAATAGAACGCCATCGAGGAGGTACGAACGAGGTTACGATCAGAGAAGGGAAGGTAGAAGGGAAAGAGATAATCAGTTTTATAGACGTTCTAACAGATCCTCTGGAGATAACTGGAGAGATGACTCGACACAGAATTATAGTAATGATTCGTATAGGAGGAGTAATGATGGTAATAGTGCTTCAGAAGGTGCTACAAACGGACTTGTTATGTACATTGACACCAACAACATTGGAAGAGTTATCGGAAGGGGTGGCAGCAAGATTAAGTCTCTGCAAGATGAGAGCCAAGCCAAGATCAGTGTAAATAAAATATTATCCTAAACGTAATCAATATAATGAAGTATGTTGCTGCAAGACGTAATCCGGCAATCCTATATTTAATAATTGACTTCTTTTACCTTTATCTAGATCGATAGACAAAATGATGGAAATGGACAGACTGCTGTGACGCTAACCGGTTCCGATGACGCCCAACAACGAGCTAAGAGCTTGATAGAGGAGTTATTAACCGAGAGAAGTAACATGCAGGAAAGGGTAGAATCTACGCGAAGACCGGCACCTATGCCGGCTATGCCCGAGCAAAACCAAGAGGTTGATTGGGCTAATTTTGATTGGACCAAGGCTAATGAAGAATATGTATGTTTCGCGCGTAATAATAAAATATGAATTATTTTATGACTAAACCAAGTATAACGACAATTTTCTCGGCACAGGAGGAACGCCAGAAGAAGAGGTGGGCGGCTTTGCCTCCTATTATAAAGAATTTTTACAAGGAGGATCCGGAGGTTGCTAATATGCCGCAGTCAGAAGTCGCTTATTTCAGGAAGACCAACAATAACATAGAAGTCCGACATGTTTTCGAGAACGAAGGGGCCTCCGACGAGGATATGAAAATACCAAATCCCGTCGAAACTTTCGAACAAGCCTTCCAGGTAATTAAGCTTATGAAGTTCTTTATTACTTTAATACAGATACTGATATATATATTACTCTATTCATATTGCAGGCATATCCAGACATCCTTAGAGAAATACGAAAACAAAAATTTGAAAAACCAAGCCCTATACAATGTCAGGCATGGCCTATTCTGCTGAGCGGTCGGGATCTCATTGGGATAGCGCAAACTGGAACAGGTTTCGATTATTTTTATTTTACAATTTATTATACATATACATCTGTTTGTAAAAGAGTATAATTATGATTTTAGGAAAAACTCTTGCTTTCTTACTGCCCGCTTTGATCCATATCGACGGGCAACCAACGCCACGCGATGAGCGTCCTGGACCGAATGTTCTTGTTATGGCACCGACGAGAGAACTGGCGCTGCAAATTGAGAAGGAGGTAGCGAAGTACTCCTACCACGGCATTAGAGCGTAAGTTTGTTTCGAATAATACGTCTTGCATTCATGTTTTTATATTGAAATTATAATATCAATATAGTTATAAATTTTTTGCTTTATAATGTATAGCTTGATTGAAAATTATTTATTTAAGGGTGTGCGTGTACGGTGGCGGAAGTCGCAAAGCACAAATAGATACTGTGTCGAAGGGTGTGCAGATAGTAATTGCGACTCCCGGAAGATTAAACGACCTGGTTCAATCAGAGATATTGGATGTGTCGGCTGTGACGTATCTTATACTTGACGAAGCAGATCGTATGCTGGACATGGGTTTCGAACCGCAAATTCGTAAGACTCTTCTGGGTGTGCGACCAGATAGACAAACTGTTATGACGAGGTATAAATCACTTTTTAAACATTTTTATCATTAAAATGGGATTTTTTTAAGAAAAAGAATTGCACTCATATTTTTTTATCTCGTCAGAATCTTGATTTTTTAAATTTTTAATAGATAATTTGTTTCTATATTGACTTTCTAAAATGTAGTGCTGTCTAAGAATTCATATGGAGCATAAGTATTATATATAATTAATGCAATAGATATTAAAATAATATTATCGTCTTTTTACTCAGCGCTACGTGGCCTCAAGGTGTAAGACGCTTAGCTCAATCGTACATGAAAAATCCGATTCAAGTATTTGTCGGATCACTTGATTTAGCGGCTGTCCACTCTGTAACGCAGAGGATTTATATGGTCAACGAAGACGAGAAGACAGATATGGTTAGTAGCATCTTGAAAGCATAAGTGCTTTCTTACATTCCTGGAAAATGAGAATTTTGAGACAATATCTTTTCTAAATCTAATTCTAAATGTATATAAATACAGAATTGACTATATATTATCTTAGAGATGTCATTAATTGTATTATTATTATTAATTTATTATAATATATTGTAGATGCACCAGTTCTTCCGGGAAATGGGCTCTAACGATAAAGTGATGGTATTTTTCGGTAAGAAGGCAAAGGTGGACGATATCTCTAGCGATCTGGCCTTATCGAACATCGATTGTCAGAGCATTCACGGCGACAGAGATCAAACAGATAGGGAACAAGCCTTGGAAGATCTGAAGACTGGAGCCGTTCAGATTCTTCTCGCGACCGATGTGGCTAGTCGAGGAATCGACATTGAAGATATTACGTGAGTCTAACGTACGAAACGTATTACATTATTTGAAATACAACATTTTTCGATACATTTTTGCCCTCATTTTAGGCACGTACTGAATTACGACTTCCCGAGGGATATAGAGGAATACGTTCACAGAGTCGGCCGTACTGGACGCGCAGGTCGAACGGGCGAGAGTATCACTTTTATGACAAGGCAGGACTGGCATCATGCCAAGGGACTCATTGACATTCTCGAAGAGGCTAATCAGGTTAATAGATATACACAGCACTTTGATTCTTTCAAACTTTCTATGAGTGGATTCAACTAACTCATGCTTTTTACTTCAGGAAGTACCGGAGGAAGTGTATAAAATGGCTGAAAGATATGACGCGTGGAAGAAGAAGAAAGATGCGGAGCAATCAAGTGTCAGAGGATTCAACAGAAATAGCGGTAGAAGCCGCTATCGCACTTAAAACGGCCAATTAATGACGCTAGGAATATAGATTACATTGTGTTCAGTATAATCAATATCAGGTTCAACACATTGTGATACTATTTTTAGTTCGTACCATTTCGATGAGATTAATTTCGTAGAACAACTCAATGTTCCTTTTCTTTGTTTTTTTTTTTGTTACTTATCAAAGTTAATTATACGATTTAAGATCTACTTTGTAGTTTAAGTATCTTATTCAGATGATTAAAATGCGCTTGCATGCGATACAGTCAGAATAATGATACATTGTAATTAGTAACACTTTATATTGTCTTAGCTACCAAACATCGAAATATAATTTTGTACCACAAAGTTTACTAAATATGCACTCATTAGCATATTTAATTTTGTTTTCAATTAAATTCTACACTACATATTTTATTTGTTCAAAAGACATATAATATTAGAGTTTGATTGATAAAATATATATTTTTTTTATTGAATCAGTGTAGTTCACATTTATTTGTTTTTCTAACACAGATTATTTTAAATATATAACACATTTCTCGTATTACAATAACTCGCTGTTAAATATATTATTCATAGCAAGTTACGCAAGAACTAAGAAAATGAGTGACAAGAATCTATATGTAATTAATTAGCGATGGGATCACTAAATGTATTCATTTCAAGAACAGTGTATTAATAACTTATAATTTAAATTTCTCGAAGTAATTCGATATATTAGCATCTAAATCTATAGACTTTACATTATATATCTTAAATTTATACCTTTTGTTATATTAAAATTTATTACAAAAGAAAGTATCTCATTAGGTTTAAAACTATACAGTAAAACATAATAACAATTTAAACAAAAAAAAAATGTAAAATTAATGTTTAAAATTATTTAGAAAATTAAAAGAAATTATTAATTTCTATTTCATTCGTATCAACATATATAGTAAAAGTGTTACAAAAATGTATAATAACTATAAAGGTAAAATACGATAAAATAAGATGTTATAATAAGTGGATGTTTTGCTAGTTAACAATTTAAATAACGCAATTATTTTAAAAAACGAATATTTGAGCAGAAATATAATGGATTTAATTGTAAACCTTGAAGGTTCTCGTTTTTGTGTATTTCTCGGCAAAGATCTTACCACCTGGAGTCGGTATTGAGAACGCTATGTCATCCAACGACATTACGTAACCATAAAAGAATTTGGCTCTGAAACACGAATGGGAATAGTCTGGATAACGCACTTCTTTGAAAACAGTCGACCTATATATATGTTAATATAACGTTTACCTCAAAGTATCAACGAGTTTAGTGGCTATACCCTGTTTGCGATGACTCATCGCAGTCCAAACGACGTTTACGCCGCATTTCGTAGGTGTACTCTCGGCGGTGCAACAGTTGAGGTCCATCAGCTCGGGAATCATACGAAACGCCGTTTCAATATGTTCCGCCACCAGCACTCCGAGAACGTTTTTCTCGCGTACATACAAGAAGATCTGCAAGGTGTATCTTTCCTTTATCAAACTGTTTTTAAAATTAAATGCGATGTGTAAAATAACGTATATTCACCTTTTTGCTCTGATAATCCGAGATATTCATGTCCGCCAGTCCCAAATCTCTATCTACAACTGTCAGAATCTCCAACACTTTCTTCCAATGTTGCTTGGGGTCATGTGGCTCGACCAAGATTATTCTGCTATTAGTGAAAGGGTCCTCCGATATGACACGCTCGTTCTTCCATCCCTGAAATCAACGTGTGTGACAGAAGTCTTTAAATATCGTATCTACAGTGACGCGATATTAATTTCGCAGATACAACCAAGGCGTACCTGAAATTTCAGAGTCCGTATGCTGTTGTGATAATTCAAGTGAGCATTCTCATCCTCGGGATCGCCTAGTTGGTACACAATGTTACATTCCGAACACTGAGTGGCGCCGAAACGCTTCTGACCAGCATCCAGCTGATATTGATCATCCGCACCACCACCTTTCGCCGATAGCTGCCACTGCATATTTCTTTTCGCTGCTTTTCTGGTATTGCCGTTATTTGTCTCCCTAAAGCAGAAGTCAAAGCATGTATTTCATTAAAATAGATTTAGGATTTTCGACAGTATCTTTGCACTTGAAATAATTTTTCAAGACAGTTGTACATTGAAAAATATGAATTAATATGAACGAGTTCAGAATATTAATAAGAAATTAGTACAAATAATTAATATTTTTATAATACAGAATAATAAAATTAACAAGAGCAAACAAACATAATTTTATATAAGTTAAAATTTTATAGATAGACATAAGAGATTCGAGATTTAAAACTCAGGAACGTACTCGAAAATATTATCAGGTACAGAATATCCTTTTTTAAACAACGGAAAATATCTCTTCTCGGCATCTTCCTCGCCAGTGTTTTTTTCGCTATCATTATTGTTGTTCGTGCTGTCGAGCGAAAGATTCCCGAAGTTCGTCAAGGGAGCAGCAACGTCTTTGATGTTCATCGTCGAGGTCATGTTGCTGAGCTCGGTAGCCGGAGACATGATCGCGTCCTTCGGCAACGTTGTCGCCGAGTTTAACGGGGAAAACGCGTTCGCTATATGAGTCAGTGGTGCCAGCGTGTCGTAGTCGTCGTTCGCCCAGTCGTCCTCGAGAATTTTCAGGATGTCCTCGACTTTGTCCTGCTGCAACGTAGCCTCAACCTCCGGCTCGTCGACGGTCAGATCGGTGGCGTCTAAAGAGACGTCCGGGGCCTTCGGCTTCTGCTTTTGTGTATTTGTAGACGGGATGCGCTTCTGATTCTCCTTCAACGCAATTTTACCGTCCGCTACCTTCAATTTAATCTTATCATTTACCGTCACCGTAGCGGCTTGATTTAATCTGATCGTCTTGTTGGTTTTGAAAAATCGCTTATTCTCGTCGACCGCTGGCGAGGGGGCTCTCTCCGCCACCGCGTTCGCCTCCATCGGCTGAGCTTCCTCCACGGGAGGACTCTTGCTCGAAGCCGTGGGACTAACGTGCTGTTCCTCTTCCTTCTTCGACGCCTCCGTGCTCGCCTTGGGCTTCGGCTTCTTGATACCGTGGCACACGCCAGCGTTTATCTTACCGAATTTCCGCTTCTTCGCTGTCAACGAACGTCTACCGTTGCCATGCGAAGATAAGCTTCGTATCCTCTTGACGTCGCTGCTTCTGAAATTGACGAAAGGCCGCTCGGACTTGGCGCTGCCGCTGTAGAACGTTTTCGTGCTTAACGAGAAACAATTCGGGGGACTATGCTCGTCCCTCTTCTCCTGAAACAGCGACGCTCTCGCACGCGGCACGAAGCCCTCGTCCGCCTTGAACAATTTCATCGGTTTCGCCACCGGCTGATCGCGCGCATGCCTTTTCAACGTGTTCTCCTTCTGCTCCGGCGAGAGACCCTCGCCCGTTTCGATCGCGCTGAAAGACTTCCGCCTGTGCAGCTTCGGCAACGGAACCGTCTTGCTTATGGAGCTCAACGGCGTGATCTGTCTGATTTCGGGCGTCCTGCTCTTTCGGGGTGTTTCCGTGATACTTTGGTTCTGCAGCTCCGTGGCGAAGCTCCGCTGAGGTGTCTCCGGTACTATCTCGTTGTTCTGCTCCGCTCCCATCGTCTTCAAGCGTTGCGGCGTCAACGGATCAATCAGTTTGTTCGGCGTGGACGGCAGCGATTTCGGGGAGCGACCGCCACCAAGCAATTGACACTTCGGCGAGTATCTGGCGGCTCTGGTGACCTTCTTGAGGGACGTAAAGGGCGACATAGAGTGGTCCTCCTTGGTGAACCTTAAACGATCCCAAGACGTATTGTGGGCCGACTTTTCCGGCGTCGCGAACGGAGATATGAATTCTCTGCCTGGCGAACTGAAATTGCTGCTACTCGGACTCTGATCGGTGAGAGCCAGAGGTGACATGGGTCCCAAATCCGACTCTTCTCCCGAGGATTTGTCATCTCTGATGCGCTCTGAACTCTGACAGCTGCTTCTTTTGTCAGACTTATCTGTGGACGGCGCAAACAGACACTTCTGCGCCCGTCGCGGAGTGCAAAGCAATTTTCCTTGGCTGCTGTCCATTGTCGAGTGACTCTTTGAAGTTACAAATCTGGGAAAAAAAATATATCCAAGTAAGCATAAAGTCAAGATTTCAAAAGTAAGCCTAGATTGGACTGATGACAGGAATCTGAGAGAAGATTGACAATTACAACCTGTTGACAACCTGGGAACGTAGATGATGGAAATATTAACGAGAATTACATTAAAATCCTGCGACATACACTCGTCAATCTTTTAGTCACGAGATTAACGCAGCCAGTCGTACAAATGTATGAGAGAAACGTTGACGCGTAAATTGTACGTCAAAAAGGGTATTCGTGACGCAAAAGCTAACCTGAACGGACCGGCGAATTTGACGAAGCGATTCCGCCGAACGCGTCGAAGATCGTCGGCGACCGATGAAGCGACGTTCGACGTGCGAACGTTGCGTACCAATATTCGCCAAGAATATGCGAAATCAGCGTACCTTTCACACAGGTTTACATTCGGAATTGCGTCGAGAGAAACAGCGCGGGAAACAGCCCCGGAGAATTAAATGCAATTATAAATGTTTTGTCATAACGGCTGCGCAGTGCGTTGTCGCGCATGACGATCGCGCGCATGCGTCAATTTTCGCGCCAAATATTCTCGCAATACGTATCGAGCATCTAGTTGAAATAATTTTTTGCAATTTTTTATGCAAAATCAAGAGAAAATCGACAAAGAGATTGCGCTTTCTAAAATTCCAAAAATTTCTCGATCATTTTCAAAAGTAGAAGGCTTCATCTCGATGACTTTCGGAAATTGAGAGACTCCGAGGGAGCGCGTTTTGCTCGCTCGCGTTGACCAATCGAAGACCGAGAGCAACCGAGAGTTTATGGTCGACGGAACATAACCTATCTGTATCCGTGTAGATCGTTATCATGACAAATGTAAATAGAGAGAAACCGATGCTTAGATAATCCGTCATAATCCAACTTTGCGCTTCCCACCCACGTTACTATGCCGTAAATCACCTTTTCAACCGATTGTGCCCGAAGTATTTACAGAATATTGTGACGCGACGTCGCGGATCGATGTCAATAATAAAGATCGCGGAGAGAAAACGAAGGGGGGAAAAACCGTGCTTTTGTACCTGCTTCGTTAATTCTCTCCTTCAACAATGAAGAAGCGAAACGCTCTATTTGTCTACTGCTGTGCTTTTGTCACTCTCCAAAGTGTTTGTAAGTGGAACGTGTCTCGATTTATGCAACCTGTCACTTTTTAATTAGTCACGCTACAGAACTGATTCGCGATCAACTTGAAAGAAATTAACACCAAATCCTTCGTTTGAAGCTGAGAAAAAAAATTCTTACGCACGGCGAGACGTTTTGCGGTCTCTCTTTATCTAAAACTGAAAATAAATATCCTTTCTGGAGTAGAACTCGACGGACAGAACAGAAACCTTGGCTTTTTCTTCTTTCTAGTTATGCCAGAAACTTGAACAAATCCTTCAAACTTGATATCAGAATATTTAGTGTCTGTTTATTTAATTTTAACTAAAATGAACAATAGATCTGTCTCACTGTCTTACTGTTGGAATCTTAAGAAATTCAGCTTTATATGTTGTTTATTGTTATCGCGAATCACATACGCGCAACTTGTCAAATTATATCGGTGCAATTATCTAATATCAAAATTTTATTGACAGATGGCCTTCATAGAAGCTTGAGATATTACGAAACAATTCACAGTACTCACTTTCAACATAGGATCGTAAAGCGAGGCGTTCAACACAGTTATCATCCATATAATAAGATAAGCGAATTGGAATTCTATTCGCACGGGCGGTAAGATGTCCGATTGTTCCTCAAATTATATTAGACGTTTCTGCGTTTTAATGCCGTTCTCTTAATATCTCTCTTTTTTTTTTACCGCAGCCATTTTCGACTAATTTTAACACCTAGAAGAGAAGTTATACATTCCAACTTCAAGGCGTACGAGGTCAACGCCGATGGAAAGGAGAAAACTGTACATTTAGGTAACGTTCAATTCGACAAAGCAGAAAAATTCAAAGATTTGTTATATTTCACAATGTCGTCCCGTAGATCATGATAATTTTTACCATGGCCGAGTGTTTGGAGAAATCGAGTCTCACGCTCAGATGCATATCGATGACGGTGTCGTGACAGGTAGTGTAACAATCTCGGATGAGACTTTTCATATTGAGGTAAGGATTGCTGAGCAAAATGTGTGCAACGGTAAAAATTTATGACACGACTCTTGCGAATTGACTGAGCAATACAACGAGAGATAACAAATTAATTAAAGCTGTTTGATAAAAGATTACATACCCAAAGTAATTTAGAAATGTCGAAAAAAAGAAAGTTTGCAAAACAATACTGTATTTCAAATAATTGTGAATCGTGTAATTTTTGGATATTTTTGGATTGTCTGTTATAATAAGGAAGTTAATTTCTATTTCAGCCATCCTGGAGGCATCTTTCTCATTTAGATAATCAAACGATGATTATTTATAAATCTTCCGACGTTAAACTCAGTTGGGAGCATTTCCAAGACGGACAGGGTCACACGCATGGAACGCCAAAGACCTGCGGTTACGTCAAGGAAGACTCAAGTATGATTCTATTACAAATATGGATACAATATAATTTTATAAAGTATGTAATGTTTCTTGTGCTTTTTTGCCGCAGATTACACGTTAAACCATAATTCTGAGGAGGACGATACGGAAACGGATAACAGTAGCAGCAGAGTGAAGAGGCAAACGGAGACTTACGAATATACACCGACGAAAACGAGATGTCCGTTACTATTGGTCGCCGATTATCGATTTTACCAAGAAATGGGTGCCAGCAGTACAAAAACTACAATTAATTATCTGGTAAATGAGCGTAATGGTACACAATTATAGATACGTTGATTGATCTATAATCATAATAATATTAATTTACAGATAAGTTTGATCGATAGAGTACATAAGATTTACAATGACACTTTGTGGCAAGAACATCAAGAGGAGGACGGTTTCAAGGGAATGGGCTTTGTTATCAAAAAGATCGTTGTTCACAGCGAACCGACGCGGGTCAGAGGCGGTGAAACGCATTACAACATGGTTCGCGAGAAATGGGACGTCCGCACATTGCTCGAGGTCATTATATGCAGCTTGTAAAGAGTATTGCCCTAAGAGCTTAAGTTCTTTAATTATTTATCAATTAATTTTAATATGATCAACTTTGTTAAATTAACGTTGTTGAACATGGTTGAAATTAAGTGTCGCCTCTCACGATGTTGTTGCGTTAATGCAGGTGTTCAGTCGGGAATATAGCCATAAGGATTTCTGCTTGGCTCACTTGTTTACCGATCTCAAGTTCGAGGGTGGTATTCTAGGATTGGCCTACGTAGGATCTCCTCGTAGAAATTCGGTGGGCGGTATCTGCACACCAGGTACACTAAAGAATCATTCTGCATTCTGTATTCTGTTTCGCGCACACATTACTCTAACATTTATATATTGACGAAGTACACAGTGATATTTGCATGGATATTGGATTTCTCAATAGAAAATTGATATCATCTTGCAGAGTATTTCAAAAACGGATATACATTGTACCTGAATTCGGGTCTGAGCTCCAGCAGAAATCATTATGGACAAAGAGTGATTACAAGGGAAGCGGATTTAGTTACGGCACACGAATTCGGTCACAATTGGGGCTCCGAGCATGATCCAGATATCTCAGTAAGTTATGATTCAGTTATCGCTGTATACAAGTTTTTTTTTTCTAATTCCCGAGTCTAGAATTTATTTTTCTAACATCATTTGCAGGAGTGCAGCCCAAGTGCGAGCCAAGGTGGCTCTTACTTAATGTATACTTACAGCGTTAGTGGCTACGATGTAAACAATAAGGTAGAGTATATGCTTTATTCACGCTATATAATTTCGATATGTAAATATGACGCATTAGATACTTTAACTTTTCTTAAATGAAGATATATTCTATCTCACGTGCCGTGTATATGTTTGTGTGAAAGTTTGTGCGCGTGCTTATACAGAATTTTCGTTTATTTTTCCATAGAGATTTTCTCCATGCAGCCTGCGATCCATCAGGAAGGTCCTGCAAGCCAAATCTGGACGTTGTTTCTCAGAGCCGGAGGAATCGTTCTGCGGTAATTTGAGAGTCGAGGGTGATGAAGAGTGCGACGCGGGTCTCTTAGGAACGGAAGACAATGACTCGTGTTGCGACAAAAATTGTAAGCTTCGAAGTAATCAAGGAGCAGTTTGCAGGTAAGTCACTTGGAATAGAATCGTACTATTGTGTTGCGATATTTGTACAAATGTTTAACGGCGTACGTTTTGTTTCTTTCGACAGCGACAAAAACTCTCCTTGCTGTCAGAGCTGCGCGTATATGCCTGCGGGCGTGAAATGCCGCGACGCGCAATACGCCACTTGCGAACAGGAGTCGCGTTGCACCGGAGCGTCCAGCGAATGCCCGAGATCCCCGCCCATGAAGGACGGCACCGGTTGTCTCGAACGTGGTCAATGCCGTCTAGGCAAATGCGTGCCGTACTGCGAGACCCAAAACTTACAAAGCTGCATGTGCGATACTAGTATGTGTCTTATTTTAAGTACTAGATATTGTACAAGTATAAACGGGATATTTTATTGTGTGCACATTAATCAGTATCATCTTTTCATATCAGAAAGGATGGAATTCTTGTTTTACAATTCATTTCTACGAACTTAGTATTTATTATTCAATAAGTTTAATTAGTATTTATTATTGGATAGCTTATTAATTGTGCAATTAATAGAACCAACTGCTATTCTTGAGATTTTATAATTTATCCAGATTTAATTGAAATTGAAGATACTTTATATATTATTTTTAAGATTGAAGAAAGCCAAAAAATTCAAAAAATTGGGAATTTTTACAGTCGACTCATTCTACATCACACACACATATAAGGTGCTTTCCATTTACATACAAACTCAGATAATTCTCACTTGTGACGTCGTTCTATCCTTTTTGGCAATTAATGAACAATAAAGACAGAATGACATCACAAGTGAGAATTATCTGAGTTTTGATGTAAATGGAAAGCAACTATAATTAACTTTGATTATGTTGAAAGGTACAGTGTATAATTATTAATATTACTACTTCACGAATGTTATTAATAGTTGCTGACGCGTGTAAGAGATGCTGCAGAATGAGTTTGAACGAAACGTGCTTCCCGATAGACCCGCAAGATATTTTACCCGACGGGACACCGTGCATTCAAGGTTTTTGCAACAAAGTAAGAGATAAATCATAGTAATAAATTTGATAAAAATAAGACCAATTTCTAGTGTCTAATATTACACCCATATGCTTTTAGGGTGTGTGCGAGAAGACAATCCAAGACGTGGTGGAACGATTCTGGGACATCATCGAGGATATAAACATCAATAAAGTTATGCGCTTTCTGAAAGATAACGTAGTCGGTGCTGTGATAATCATCACCGCCATCATATGGATACCGGCGAGCTGCGTCATCAGTTACATCGATTACAGACGGGTAAAGGAGAGCGAAAAGAAGTGGCGGTGGAAACATACAGACGAGCTCATCCATCCGGACGAGCCGAGACAAGTGATTTACGTCGGCGGTCAGCGACAAAGAGCGCAACACGTCGCGCATCAATCGTGAATTTAGATCACTCGCGTATTTCGATCATCTAGTCAGATTTATCTGAAGTGATATATGTTTATACATCTTCTCGGAATGACAAAAAAATATTGTAAATATCTCTTTTACTTTCTACGTTATACATACGTGTATATACCTTCTACATAATTTCTGTAAGATTTTGTAGTTGAGTGAAGGAACGGTACATTCCTGTAGTCCAAAGAAATTAATAGTTCGTACTTGAGAATTAGATATACGAAATTTTTCACTACTGTAATTGTTTTTTGATACCACGTATATAAGATATTTTCTAAGTCTTCTTTCTTCTTTCAAGTATTACTTATCTCTCTCTAAAGTTGACATTTGCTACTTAAATTATTAAGACACAACTGCCACGTTACATTAATATATTACAGTACTTAAATCGGCGAATTAAGAATGACAAGATTTGCTTTATAACTCCAAGTATTGTACAATTTATTTTCTAACAGTATTTTAACATTTTAACGTACAATTGTAAAGATATGTAAAAACAGATATTAATCGTGTAACGACCTATAATGATATTTTAAAAAATCTAATGTGCGAATATTTAAATAAAAAAAATCGAGAGAAATGAAATGTCTTGGGGGAAAAAAATTATTTTGAAATTCGCGCCGGAATTTTCCTGATATCGAGCAGTCGGTTGCTGAGTATGTACAAAATATTTGAATTCGCAACCTACTTCAGTTTAGTTTACTTCTTATATAAAAATATGTTGCTGATAACTGACAATTTTTCGAAAATCCAAGTATTCTATACCATCTTTAATTCTTCTGTCTATGTGCACATTCCCACATTCAAATACATACATATTGCTAAATGTTTTCTTTAACATATACGTTGACTATCTGTTAAATAATGATTACGTTGAAATAAAGTATACATACGTATGTCGATATTTTTGCATATCTGAGACGCGAGTCATGCGAGATCACGTCAAACATAACCTCGAGTTGAGGTTTAAGGTTAGCACGTGTTCGCGTCAGTCACGTGTAACCGCGTTAGATAATTCGGGCGCGCTGATTGGCTCCCCGACACGCGCTTTCCGATGTCCCGAGAACTTTCTCCTCCGACAGCCAATCCGCGAGGCAGAACACCTCGCGCGGCTAACCCGCAATGACCCGTTTACGCGTGCGCACGTGAGTTTCGTTCGATTCTCTTGCGACGCATCGTATTGAAGGTTACGTCAATCGTGGTCAATTGCGTCAGCTTCTCGTACGAGGCTACGAGAGTTCCAGCCGGTACGGAACGTCGTGCGCCAGATATGCCCGCCGAGAAGCCCCGTCCCGGGAGGTCGAACCTCCCGGAGACCATCAACTTTGCGAGGGAGGAGGACGCGACGCTGGAAACGTGGAGAAAAGGGGACGTGTTTCAGGAAAGTATGCGCCTGTCGAAGAACCGGCCGAGGTACACGTTCTTCGACGGACCGCCATTCGCCACCGGTTTGCCGCACTACGGCCACATCCTCGCCGGCACCATAAAGGACATCGTGACGAGGTACGCGTACCAAAGTGGCTACCACGTGGAGCGGCGATTCGGCTGGGATTGCCACGGCCTCCCGGTGGAGAACGAGATCGACAAGAAGCTGGGCATCAAGGGGCCGGACGACGTCGCCAGGATGGGCATCGCCGCGTACAACCGGGAGTGCCGTAACATCGTGATGAGGTACGCCGAGGAGTGGCAGATGATCGTCGGCCGGATGGGACGGTGGATCGACTTCGAGAACGACTACAAGACCATGTACCCGTGGTACATGGAGTCCATCTGGTGGGTGTTCAAGCAGCTGTACAACAAGGGCCTCGTTTACCAGGGTATCAAGGTGATGCCCTACTCCACCGCCTGCAACACGCCGCTGTCCAACTTCGAGGCCGGTCAGAATTACAAGGACGTGGTCGATCCGTCGGTCATCGTGGCCTTTCCCCTGCTGGACGAGCCCGGGGTGTCCCTGCTCGCCTGGACCACCACACCCTGGACGTTGCCCAGTAACATGACGCTGTGCGTCAATCCCACCTTCGAGTACGTGGAGGCGAGGAACGAGAAGACCGGCGACGTTTACATCATGTTGGAGGCCCAGTTGCACACCCTCAAGGGTTCTTACGTTATAATCAACAGGAGAAAGGGCGTAGACCTGAAAGGGAAGGCGTACGAACCTCCGTTTCCATATTTCCTGCATTACAGAGAGAAAGGTGCTTTCAGGGTGCTGAACGACACTTACGTCACGGCGGAGACCGGAACCGGCATCGTCCATCAAGCCCCGTACTTCGGGGAGGACGATTTCCGATGCTGCCTGGAGGCCGGCATCATAAGCAAGGACCAGGAGGTCGTGTGCCCCGTGGACAGTTGCGGCTGCTTCACGGAGCCGGTTCGCGACTTCCTCGGCAAGTACGTCAAGGACGCGGACAAGGAGATAATCAAGTATCTGCAGTCCAAGAAGAAGCTGGTCGTCAGCGGCACGGTGAAGCACAGCTATCCGTTCTGCTGGCGCACCGACACGCCGCTCATCTACAAGGCCGTGCCCTCTTGGTTCCTCAAGGTGGAGGAGATCAAGGACAGGCTGCTGACGGCGAACAGCGAGACCTACTGGGTGCCGGACACCGTGAAGGAGAAGCGATTCGGCAACTGGCTGCGCGACGCGCGCGACTGGGCCATCAGCAGGAACCGCTACTGGGGCAATCCCATACCGCTGTGGATCTCCGAGGACAAGGAGGAGACCGTGTGCGTGGGCAGCATCGAGGAGCTGGAGAGATTGACGGGCGCGAAAGTGAGCGACATTCATCGCGAGAACATCGATCACCTGACGATCCCGTCGCGACGGCCCGGTCAGCCGCCGTTGCGTCGCGTGCCCGAGGTCTTCGACTGTTGGTTCGAGTCCGGCTCCATGCCGTACGCGCAGATGCACTTTCCTTTCAAGAACCGCGGGGACTTCGACAGGTACTTCCCGGCGGACTTCATCGCCGAGGGCATCGACCAGACGCGCGGCTGGTTCTACACGCTCCTGGTGATATCCACCGCGCTGTTCGGCAAGGCGCCGTACAAGAATCTCGTGGCCAACGGTTTGGTGCTCGCGTCCGACGGCCAGAAGATGTCGAAGCGCAAGAAGAATTATCCCGACCCGATGGAGGTGGTCAACAAGTACGGGGCGGACGCCCTGCGCCTCTATCTGATCAATTCACCGGTTGTGAGAGCTGAGAATCTGAAGTTCAAGGAGGAGGGCGTCCGGGACGTCATCAAGGACGTATTTCTGCCGTGGTACAACGCGTTCCGTTTCCTCCTTCAGAACATCGAGCAGTACGAGGAGACGGGGGTCTGGTTTGTATTCGACGAGAAGCTAGATTCCTGTTCCAGCAATATAATGGACAAGTGGATCATATCCTTCACGCAGTCGCTGTTGGTCTTCCTGAAACGTGAGATGAAGGAGTACAGGCTGTACACCGTGGTGCCCTACCTGATAAAGTACATAGACAATCTCACAAATTGGTACGTGAGAATGAATAGAAAGCGTATCAAGGGCGAGGACGGCCCGAAGGATTGCAAGAACGCGTTGACGACTCTGTTTCTGGCGGTCTACACGATGGTGCAGACTTACGCGCCGTTCACGCCGTTCCTGACGGAATTCATGTTTCAACGATTATCCAAGTGGGTCCTGCCCTTGCCAGAGTCCGCAAATGGGGAGTCTTCTCCGAGTTCTAACGCTAAAGAGGAAGACGACTGGCAAGGTAGCGTGCACTACAAACTGATACCACCTCCGCGTGATTATCTGATCAACAAGGACATAGAGAAGGCTGTGTCGCACATGCAGTCGGTCATCCAGCTAGGCCGCATCGTACGGGACAGGAAGGTCATACCCACGAAGTATCCTTTGCCCGAAATCGTGGTGATCCATCGGGACGCCGAGGTACTGAAGGACATCGTTTCGCTGAAATCGTATATCCTCGAGGAGCTCAACGTCAAGAAGTTGACTGTCACCACCGACAAGCAGAAGTACGGCGTGACCTTAAGAGCGGAGCCGGACCACAAGACACTTGGCGCACGTTTGAAGGGTGAGTTCAAGCAGATAATCCAGGCAATTAAAGAGCTGTCCGACGAACAGCTGCAGAAGTTCGTCGCCACGAGGGAGATCGTCGTGCAGGGCCACAAGCTCGAGGAGCAGGACCTGCGTTTGATGTTCAGCTTTACCGGTCCGACCGCCGAGCAGCTGTCGAAGCAGTACGACGCCCATAGCGAGGGCAACATCCTGATCCTCCTGGACGTCACGGCTGACGAGGCGATGCACAACGAGGGGATAGCGCGGGAGGTGATCAATCGGGTGCAGAAGCTGCGGAAGAAGGCACGGCTCGTGCCCTCCGACGAGGCCGTCGCGTATTACGAGATCAAGGACGCGGGCAGCAACCTGGCCAGGGTGGTCGTCAGCCACAAGGAGTTCATCGAGAACGCGACCAAGACCCCGCAGAGAGACATGGCGGAGTTGCCGGCCGACAGCTACGTGATCCTCGAGGAGATGCAGAAGATCAAGGGGGTGGACATGAGGCTCGCGTTGGCCAGGACGCAGGCCGGTTGTGCGTCCAAACGGGACGACGGCGCGACGCCCGGGCCGTCGGAATCGCAGCCCTCCGTGGGCTACGTCAACGTGACGCTCGTCAACATGCAACCGCGATACGGCTCGACCTCGAAAGGCAAGATTCTGTTGTACGACTCGCAGCTGGGGCCCATCACGTACAAACGTCTGAAACAGGAGATCGATCTGGTGTTCGGTATTTACGGCTGCTCGTACGATTTGTATCTTAACTCTAAGAAACTTACCAGAACGATGGACGATACGCCAGTGGAGGAAGACCTATTCAACAAACAGACGATAGAAGTATTGAGGTCAACGAGGTCAACATAGCGGTTTTTTTTGCCTTTGGTTTTCGATGTGATGAAAAGCGACTTTCGCCGGCTTGCGATTTAATCAATGGGTTGAAAAAGGAGAGCGAGGACTTAAATCTCGCAAATCTGCATTATGTTCTTTTGAGGTTTCTCTTTTAGTTTCTAAAAAGATACGTTCTACATTATTGCATCTGCAAGATCGAGCGAAAGACCTATATGGTGAATTTTATTTAATCTTCCTTCTTCCGTCAACAAAAGTATTTACTGTGAAGCACGTTAGAAAGCGTTATTTATGATTTAAGTTAACATTTCACAGCGTATTTATTTAATACACAACTTAAACGTGATTTAAAGTAAATTATATTTTTTATGAGAATTTATATAAATTGGCTATTTTGTAAATTAAAAAATAAAAACAATTGTACAATTTGCAATTTTAATGTCAATTTTTTTTCTAGTTTTGTCATCGCATTCGATTTGTATCTTGTGCATCAACGCTCAAACATTGTAAAAAAAAAAATGACTCGTAACTACTGTAAGAAAGGAATAACAGAGAATTTCATGAGATAAATATAAATCTGTCTTAAAATATCAGTATTCAAAAAGCTTTACATGTATATTTATCGCTAAGAAACAAGGAGAGCACTATGATAAAAGTATCAAATAAATAGACATTTATTGGCATTAACTAAAACAATCGTGTATATATATTATAACTATTAATTTAACTCTAACAAATTATATAGTACACTAGTCAGAGACTATAATATATTATTCCTCTATGTCACGCCCGTGTTATGCCATAAGCACTTTTGACGAAACTCACACCTGTATTTTCATGCTCCTTTCGGAATCTGACGTGAATATCCGTTTAGTAATCTAATTCTTTTTTTTTTTATAGAAAAGATTGATTTTATTAATTATACACTATGCAATTGTTTCTCATGTACAAATAAGTATAACGTACGTAGATATTTTAGAGATCGCGGAGACAATTCCTTCTTATCAATACAAAATCCATTCAAATGAAGTCGCTTTATACTAATGGTAACTGCAATTCACGCATTATTAGGCATAATTGCCAACATTTCCATTACACATTGACTGCCATGTCATACGGCGTCATTAGCGCACGAATAACAGTCCTTTTTTCAATCATTTATATATAATGACAGAAGCCTCGTCGTTGAATAACAGTTTTACGGTTTAAAAAAAAATGTTAGAAAAGAATGGCTTCGTAAGTTTTTTTTATGAAAGTGAATAATAATCACGAACGACGTGGCAGTCAACGTGTTAAAAACGCACATAAAATAATTTTTGTAAATTCGGCGAATCAAAACACATTTGAGTCACACACAGCACCAATATAATACACTAGAAAAACGAAGATAATAACTAAGTAATTACATGTAGAAAATATTTCTATAATCCTTTCACTTTACAATTTAGAGTTAGTCGTAGTGAAAATCGGGGAAATAAACTATTAATTTATTTTTTACTTCTTCATTGCACGGAAAGTTATCCTTTCAGAATTATATGTATCTTGTAAGAAAAACTGCACTTTCAGAGTAACTTATTTTATCGTATAGAATATATTTCCCAATTACCTTGTAATGAACACCACAAAGCAATATTTCTTGCGGAAAATTATTTATATACGCGCAAGGTTCTCCAGTTTAAAAGAATTTAATGAGTAAAGGGAAAAGAATTAAAAATAATTACGCTTGAGCGAATACGAAATGTAATCGGTCTTTAATAATGTGTTTAACATTCACGAGTTATTTTCGGGGGATGTAGTATCACGTTCATTGTTCATATTATTGTTACTCTCTTCAGAGCGGGGTAAGAGTGTGTGAACAGCTAACACTTAAATTGTTTATTATTTACAAATTAGCATCTAAACGTAATTATTGACTTTTATTACTCACTAAATTATTTTAAATTTAACGGAGGGTGCCCTGTATGCTTTATACAGATATATAATCTATAACATACGTATTATATATTATGTTTTAAATATACATGTGATATAGTATGTTAGACAGATCACCTGCTGTCGTAACCATAAAAAAAGTTCCCTTCGAATTTTCTGCAAAAAACGCCACGCTAGAATTTATGCAATAATTTAACGCGCCTCCTGTATGTAACGAGTTTAATTAAAATTCGAGAATATACCAATAGAAATATGCATTGCATGTTGCCATTACTCCGCAATCAGTGTTTTATACCTTCGAGATTAACACCAAGAAAGATGAAAATCACAAACTGTAGTGAACTCGGTATCACCAACGAGTAAACTTGATCTCGAGAGCGTTACGTTGAAAGCAGATGCTCGACGACGAAGATTACCTTGATCGATTCCGTTAGCCTTGTAGTATACGTGGTACGTTAAAATGTATATTATACCGGTTTGTATTTAAGGTGCTTTTATAAAAATTGCAACCCAGTATAGTCTTAGTAGTCGTAATAGTCGTTGTCGTCGTCGTCGTCGTCATCGTCATCATCATCGTCATCATATTATTCAACGTTCCGAATGTTATCCTGATCGGGAAAGAAGTTACTAAACAGAGAGACGGTGAAGATCGCGGTCAACGCGTAGAGCGCGAGCGTGGTCGTCGCGGTGAAGAGTTGAGCATAGTGATATCGCGAGTACCACGCCATACCTAGGAGGATCGTTAGAAGGCTTACTAGAAGCCGGCTCAAGTCCCACTCGTTGTGTATCGAATGCGTTATTCCCGCGCCGGTGGGCAGATCCGAGAACGACTGGGAATTGAAATAAATGGACGAGTTGTCCAGCGTGGACGACGGTACGGTGGCCGGTCGCGGCGTATGCACCCAACAGTGTACCACGCAATCGTTGAACAAGCCGCACTGCTCGAGGGTCTGAGTGTCGGGCTGCAATACCCGGCCATTGAACACTAATCGCACTGCCTTACGTGCTTCCAATTCTATTTGAAAGTGCCTCCTACGAGAAACGTAAAGATAAGTCATGATAATGAGATAAGATAACGAACATGAAATGAGAAATGTTAAAAGATCGGATTTTTTTTTAGCGTAACAAAAACTGTGCTCTAATTTTGTCATATACGCTAAACCAGGGGATTACCTTTTAAAATCACCTAACATTTCTTTAAGACTTCCCGAGACTACTTTCTGGTCGTCGTTTATGAACTTCAATTTTATGGTGATTTCGTTGTTCACCGGTGAATTGCTGTCGTTTATTGACTCTTCCGGCGCATTTTCCGACGTACTACTAGCAGTTTGGTCTAACGTGTTGGGATCATCTGCCTTAGCAGTTCTTTGTAGCAGAGATCGATCAGCATTGCCGAACGAATCCATGGCTTCGATAAGTACTTCCTCCGTCGTCGTAGATTCCGGTGATCTCGGGACTTCTTGAAGCGATTCGCTCGTATCTAGTGTCATTAATTAAATCATTGATGAAAAGGATTTATTATGCAACACTTACGCAAAGAAGAGAGAAACGAAAAGACTATTTACCCACGGCAGCTGCATTCGGACAGCTGGACTGTGTACTATCGCTGTTGTTTGATGATGTCTCCAGAGTTTCCTCTTCCGCCGTTTCTGAACTTTGCGGCCGACCAGCGTCTTGGACACTGAGATTATTCGTGTTCGCACGAGCTCTTCGTCTACGCGCTGGCGCCCGGTCGCGCAGTATAAGCACCGTACGTATCAGTGGTTGTTCCGCTATACTTGTCGAGCACCAAGCAAGCCATCCCACAAACAGTACGGACATGACGATAAAGAAATCTGTGACTTCATCGCCCACTCCCTCGATCAACGACATCTTATTTCCGATCAAATCTGTTACAATAACAATATGTGAATATTATTAAAATTGTCTGTGTGTTATTGTTCTAGTTAATATTGCATATTTCTGAAACTTGGTTCTTGAAACCAAACACTGACCAATATCAAGACTGTTTATAAATAAACAATTGCTTTTAACAATTGTTCATCTATTCTCTGTCGTTTATAATCTTGTGATAATAGATCTGTTCATGTTGCTTGCACTTTTTGCATTTAGAATCTTCGCTTTTTCTTTCTCCAACGCTCAATGTATAATTCTCGTTTCAAGGGCATAAATTCTTGGGAATTTCAAACAACACGAACAAATCTATTTTGTTACGCATTTAACTTCGTTTGCACGAACAATTTTCTTCCAAGATACAAACTTATTTGTCAAAGTCACATGTAAGAAAATTATCTTTTACATCATTACGATTTACGATATGTCAGAGAGATCGACCAAGCTTTAAATCTGTGTCCAGGCATTATTTCATATAGGACTACAATATTATTTATAAAATTGTCCCCATTACAATCAATTGTTATTAATTTTCCGACACTTTGGACCAAATGTAGTACCAAAATTAGACGCTGGTTCAACACGAAGCGTAACAATTATACGTCTCACGATGATGTCACGCGACGTTTGCCAATTATCTGGGGCAATTAACAGTCGGGAAGGCAGAAACGAAACAAATGTTAGCGTACACGGTACAGAAAGCAGCAGTGAAATCTGTCCTTCGCGAGGTTATCTCTCGTCCGAGGGCGAATCTGTCAACACGGGACTGCGAGGTGGACGCTGCTCTCCTTCGTCGGGGCCGAGGGGCGACGTCTCATGGCACACGTCGACGATCCTGAGAAATTCTGAGGAACGTCGTCACTCGGGATCCGCGTCCGTTTCACCTTCCTGCTTTTACCGACACCGACGAGTGAGCAGCCTCCTCGTCACGCACATAGCTCTCCCAGTTCCGTCAACGTGTAACGCGGGACGCGATAACGGCCTGTAAACAGCGGGACGCTTTACAATACGATCGACAAACAACTAAAGGTAGAGAGAATAAGGAAAAGGGCGCGCGAGAGGGAAAGAGAGACGCAAATAGTGGTTTATAGCTGTTTATAGTGAAACCCGCGACGTGTACATCAGTGTACATACATACTACATACATACGCACCTGAGCTAATTAATAATTAACGCGATCGTCCCTCTCGCTCTTTCTCCCGTGCACTCGCGCGGGGCAACTTCGATACTTCGATTGTTGTCGCAGTCCCACGTTTCGGGCGAACAACGTCGCGAATGTCGCGATCTATAGAAAGAAAACGGGCTGTCGATTAATCGCGTGATTCGCGTGGCGGGAGAATTGGAAGAGCCGCCCTTGACCTTTATCTCGCTCTTTATTTGTTTGCGGATAAACTTATCTCATTACTATTATTACCAGTTTTAAAAAAAGAAATCAAATTTGACGATTATAAGGAATGTTTAATGAATAATGTAGAATATATGCATAAACAAAAAGTAATTTGAATTATATCTTAATGATCTTGGTGGATTTTGCACAAGATTTTGTTGATTTTTGAGCCTGTTTGCTATAAAATTGCGAGTTTTTAAAAATAAAATCTAACAGTTTTTCAATCTTCCAATTTGATGTGACCTCGGAGTGGCATTATGTACTCTACTCGTGATTTAATTCGATTGCGATGAGTTGCGTCGTCTTCCCACGTCATCGGAAGAATAAATTACACGATGTTTTGAATATGCATTCGAGATACGCGCGCAAGATGCATGTGTATGCGTGCATATACATCATATTAATCTTCAGCAAACGAATAAACGCGTTGGATTTGAAGGGGATAATAAGACTTGCTTCTCGAGATTATGCACGCACGTAAGGTGATCAAAGTAGATTGATAGTGTATGCAAACAATATTCTGTTCAATCCCTGCAGTCTGTCCTTATCGAATACAACCTAATTATTAAGTTTCAATCAATCAATTAGCTGATGAAATCTACAAGTCTGTATCGGACTCGTTCCTCCTATTTTTTCCTTCCCTAAAAAGCAGAAAATCGTGAGAAACGTGAAATCTAAAAGGTCTCTCGACGCCTTTTCTCGCAGTAAAAATAAATTCGTACATATCCTCACATAATTCTCATAACGCTTTATTTTTAAAGTCCTCGTAAATCTTTATCAGGGAAATGGGCGTTCTAGGAGTGATGGTTCTTAATGCGGCGTTGAAATGTTCTTTGGTAACAACAATAGCTTTGAGATCCTCCTGCAACGCCTTCATGCCGGCCTCGTGGCACATCGCTTGAATTTCTGCGCCGGTGTAACCTCCCGTCTGGCTGACCAAATCCGCGATGTTTACTTCTTCTGCGATCGGCATATTTCGTAATTTTATATTGAATATTTCTCGTCTGGTTTCCTCATCCGGCAGTCCCACGTATATGATATGATCTAGTCGTCCAGGCCGAAGGAGCGCCTGAAATAATCATTGCAATTCATAATATTAATTCAGGATATTAATGAAGAAGATATAATTTAGAAATTATAAAACATTCACATTTTTTGCTGTTACATGAAATAATGATTGAATCATTCAATTATTTCGTCAATTATAATAATCTGTAGATAAATAAAGTAATTTAAAAGGATAATAAATAATATTCAATAATTAGAAATAATTAGAACTGTTAAAAGATTCAGAGGATTAAGTTATTTTAATCTATTTAAAAAGTTTTACGAATGTTTCATATCATTAAAGATAATTATATGATATGACATCACTGTTTTTTACTTTTTTATAACAATGTTAAATTTATTCTGCTTTTTTTTATAAAGGTTAATTTAATACGCTATTCTCTAAAACGATTATTCAGATGTTTTTCAATGGTTGCTTTTAAATAATAAATATTTAAGTAGAAATGTCAAGATAGAGTTTTGTGGAATATTTTTCTTTTCCATTGTAAACAAAATTGTAACCAAGACACTAGTTCTTCGAATTGATTCTATATATAATACTTTTATCAATCATATAAGGTGGGAGATATTACGCTGTCAATCTTGTCCGGTCGATTAGTAGCCGCTACTAGCGTGACGTTGCCTAAAGCGGTAACGCCATCGAGTTCGGTCAGCAATTGGGCTAACACTCGTTCCTGTACGTTGCTGCCACTACCACCGGAAGACGAACCTCTTTCACCACCAAGTGCATCTATCTCGTCGATAAATATGATGGACGGTGCGACCTGTCTCGCTTTTCGAAATACTTCTCTTACAGCCCTCTCGGACTCGCCTACCCATTTCGAAAATAGCTCCGGGCCCTGCAAACAATTGCGCGATGTAGCAGCGATGGAAATAAATAAGTGTTTCGAATGACCTACCTTAATATTCAGAAAGTTAAGTTTGCTCTCGGTAGCGAGAGCTTTCGCGATCATGGTCTTCGAGCATCCAGGCGGTCCGAACATTAAGACGCCTCTACAAGGCTCAATGCCTAATCTTACGAACACCTCGGGATGATTCAGCGGCCAGTCGACGGCTTGTTTTAATTTCTCCTTCAACTTCTTTTGTCCGCCGATGTCCGACCACCTAACATTTGGTACCTCTATCACAACTTCCTTCATAGCCGAAGGGTTCGTTGTAGTCAGAGCATAACGAAAATCGGTCATCGTCACTTTCGGTTCATCGTCGGACGTAGCCTTGTCTTTCTGATGGCGTTTCACCGCGCTGATTATCGCTTTGGAGCACAAACCGTACAGGTCCGCGCCAACGAAGCCGTGAGTATCGGACGAGATGCTCTGTACGTCCTCGTGCGAAAGCGTATTGGGGATCTTCTTCAGTAACTTCGCCAGTATATCCGCACGCATGTTTGGGGTCGGTACGTAAATCTCGAACTCCATGTCCAATCTGCCAGGTCTCCTCAGAGAACTGTCCACGAGATCCGACTTTGCGGTGGTAGCCACTACCAATACGTTGCTGCTGGTGCTTTGCAGATCGTCGAAAAGCGTTACTAATTGAGCGAGGACTCTCTTCTCGTGATCCGTGCTGGAGCTGCTTCTCCTGGGGCACAGGCTGTCCACATCCTCCAACAGTATTATACTGGGAGCGCTCGATATCGCTTCGCTGAACACCTCTCTGAGCTTACCTTCCGTTTCACCGACAGACTTGCTATAAATGTCTGAACTGTGCACGGTGTACGTGTTAACGTTACATTCTGAGACTATAGTGTTGGCTATCATGGATTTACCAACGCCAGATGGTCCGTACAATAATATCCCTTTGACACTGAAGTGCTCGAAGCTCCTGTATCTGTCGATGTCTATTGCAACTACGTCTCGTATTTTGGATATAAGATCGTCGTATCCACCTATATCTTCAACTTTATACCTCTTCTTCGGGACATTTTCTTTATTTTTATCCGCAGTATCCAGGATTGTCCATTTCGTCGTGTACAGCGCTTTGTAAAAGGCCACTTTTGTAGAAGGAGTTGTTAAATTTATATCCTCAAAAGCTTTTGACAGCTCGTTTACATCCACCGCTTCGCTTTGCTTCTTCTTGCTTTCCTCTCCTTTGATCTGAACAATTTTATATACCAACTTCTTTCCGTAATATGGCACGCTTATCCTGTTGCCCACAGCGAATATCTTGTGCTCGTTAAAATATTTCAGGATATTGTCCAATTCCACGCTTGCGTCAGACACCGAGCGCTTTCCCTGTTGAGTAATTACAATTTCCTTAGCGATATGAACGTCGGATGTCAGGGAACATATTTTGACCAATCCTGATAGATTATTCAGCTCAATGGCTGAAAATAATAAAACAGAAACGCAACTGTCGTTAAATTCTTCCCTCGAGAGAGTTAAACTAAAAATAAGAAGTCGATAAATTAGCTCACCGTGCCTCGTTAAAGAAACACTTGTCAAACTTTTGTCGTTAGTCGGCCAGGCCGTTTTGACTACCACCTCGTCCTTCGTCGCCACTACGGTTGGCGATCCAATCGCGATCTCGCACAGTTGCAAAGTGAACTGCGACACAAACACCATGTCATTAGCGTCTCTCTCGGAAATGCGTTTGGGTAATTCTGCGAGATGCACAATACCATCAAGTTGAAGACAGATACGGGTGAAAATTGTGTTAACTGATTACGAGGGTTAATTGTTGCATACCTTGTGTTTGGAAGACTTCTGTCGTGCTGTATAAAACTCTGTTGTGGATGAAAGGATGGTCCCAATTTTCTGTGGAAGGCGGGCACTTCTCCTCATGTAGAGAAACATCCTTTTGCGCCAGAGCGCATTGACACCTGTCGCACTGTTGCCATAACGGCAAACTCTTTCTTGATTTAGCAGACATTCTGCAAAAATATACAAGAATATTAAGCAAAAAAACATAATACTTTAAATAAAAAAACATGAGAACAATAATTCATGGAGATATTTGAATCACAGTACAATTATAAATTGTATAAAATGTTATTGAACTTGGAATGTAATTGAACAATTGTTAAAACAACATATTTATAATACAGAAATGGAGAAAAATATAGAAGCAACGTTCAATTTAATTCTGCAATTATATCAACGTAAAACTTACAGTGTAAATTCTGGATTCTTACCTGTTTAATATAAAAACAAAGGCCAATATTTTCAAATTAGATTCCTGGCTGGTACATGCACGTTAATTACAAGCTTTTACTTTTTTATGTTTGAGATACGCGTAAACTTATCACCGCGTCTCCAACCGGTTATTCCAGTTGCAAGCTTTCAATGAATGATTTTAGGTTAGAATCAAGCTAACCTCACGTAGAGATAACGCTCGGCTAATCGAGATTTTTGCAGATCGACTGGACTATGGATCGATTATTTCCAATGATCGATTATCCACAACTTGAATTTAAATCAAGAAGATTGTTTACATTGTCAGAGAGAAACCTGACATTGTTAATAAAATGACGTAGATTATTTTAGATGCCTGCCGATTCTTTATTAGCAATTATTTTAATGGCTCTTTATTAAAAAAAATGTACCATATATTGTAATTATGGAGTAATTAACATTTTGTCGACAAGTTTAAGTAGAAAAATACATTAGCTTTTTTTCTACAAATAATAAGTAAGCCTTTTGAATAAATTAATGAATTTCTTATTTTGAAAATTAGACAATTTATAGCCCCGATAAAGAAAAATGACGACGTACTTTTTATTTATTAATTTATTCTTTTAACTGTGTCTATGTTCGCATATTTCCCTTAGCAAGTTCGTGATAGATACATTTCTCGTTTTCTCTCCATTTCGCCCTCCGTACGCCACTGGACCCCCCCGTCTTTCCCCCGTGGGTTGCGGCGAGCGGCGAGCGAGATTGAGATTCGCGCGCGCGCGTGGTAATTTATAGGTAATGATAATGACCTCTCGCGCGGACCTCTCAACGATCCTGACGGTAGCGTGGATGCTAACGAGTGCGGAGGGCGAGATTGCGGGAGGGAGAGGAGGCGAGAGATCTCCCGGTGTAGTCAGATGCGATGATGCTGCAACCGGACGAATGAATCCCCCTCCACCCCTCGCGCCGTAGCAAAAAGCAGGGGGGAATGGATATAGTCTCTTTCCCTTTTGTCCCTTTTTCTTCATTCCTCCTCCACGTCCACCTTGGTTTCCAGCAACGAAAATATATCGTTAGAGGAACGAAAGAGTCACGGAACGTTCTATACCAGGAATATGAGATCATGTTATCTTTTACGAAATGGTATCGCGTGTATTGATTAGATATCTGTCCCAGATTGAGATAGACATTTAATCGAGAGGAAAGATCCTCTTACGTTTATTTCTATCAATACCAGATTAACTTTAATTTTGGTTTAACTAATTCTTAAAATTAAAAAAAGATAAAAAGTAAATTAAACCGGGATTCAACTTAATTTGCATTGATAGAAATGAACATTCTGATTCAAATTATATTGAGCCAAATCATATCGCGAAATCGAGGAATAATCACGCGCTTCTAATGCTTTCAGATTACGTACTGATAAATTGATAATAGAAGGTAAATAAATTTTGCAATAGCAATCGGCAAATGTCCTATTAATACCTAATTAATATCTTTTTCGAAACAGAAAGGCCCGAGGGCGAATTTGCTCTCAAAATAAAATCAGTCTAGCTTCGCAATATGATAAGAGAATGCCTTAATAATAATTATGATACAAGTGGCAGTTTGACGATAACATTGACAGACTTCAGCCAAGCTTCTCAAGAATAAGGTATAAGGACTCTGATTAGCCCTTTAATCAGAGTGAATCGTGACGTTCGAATGCGAAATCCTCAGTACGGCAAGGCTAAACTGCTCGGCAAATATCTCTCTCAGAAGGGAGTAAAAACAAGATCTCCCCGAGTTGGCCGCGATAGCTGCTAAATATACATATAGAGCGACAAAGAAAAACGGAAGGTCCTGATTCGACAAATATTGACCACGAGTTCGCTGCCCCGCGAGGTCCACCCCGCAGACTTCCCCGCGTCCGGTTCCTCCCTACGTAGGGGGTGGAAACGAAAAAGTACTCGGAACGTGGCCAATCGCGAAACGTGCGTTCTCGCGAGCGTGAAATCGAGCAGCCGTCCGTCGACGATGACCGGTCGGCGAGGAGGACTGTGACGGACGGTCTGTCACGAGGCGGGTCCCGTTCGCCAAACGAGATTAATAGAGATCCGCCGCTGTCAGCCGAACATCTCCCAGCCGGCAGACGGCCAGTCTTCCCGCAGATCGCAAGCCGCGTGGGTAGCAGACCCGATACACGATCGATCTTCCTTCGATATCGATCGCCGACCGGCCGCCGTCTTCGCCCTTCGCGTGTCCACCCGGCGTCTTTTCTGAAAGAGAGCGACATCCGGATGTTGCGGAATCATCCTCCGGCGATCCGAGGATTCGCGACAAGATCGTGAAAGAGACGACCGGTCGGTCTCTCCTGCTTTCTGCCGGTGAACATTTCCGCGCGCTCGTCCGCTTTGTCATCCGCTCGGTAATCGGTATCGATATGCACGTACGAAGCACGAGGGGACGGTGGACCGTCCTCGCCGGTTTCGCCATGGTTTGCGTGGCTAATTTGCGATTAGGTAACGCCGATCATGCCACTCACCCTTCTTTCCTGCTCTGCTTTCTTCTCGTCCGCTTTTCGTCTGAACGCACAGAGAGATACATATATCGGATTCTACATGTTGAAAAATATAGAATGTAAAGGACAACTTCTCTCTTCTGTATTTTCGCTCTTTTTAGGATGAAATCTTTGACAAGTTTCCGAATGATCTCCAGCGATGATGAAAAACGTACGACGACAAAATTAGATTTATCTCTTTTCCCAGAACCACAGAATAAAAAACTCGGTTCGTCGGAAATATATTAAATCTTATTTTTGCTTCAAGAAGAGTCGTCTGCAAGACGTGATTTAATTTTAATTGTGATATTTGAAGTTTGAACTAAAAATTTAAGATTTAGAATTTTTATTTTGTCCAACAATAAGTCATTAATACCGTGTCGTTTAAAGAGCGTATCTCGTCTAATTCCGATCACGAATTTCGAGTTCCTCGATTGCGTTCCACTCGTGATCGTCTGGCGATTTTTCTTGCTTAGCCTCCTGCGAGAAGGAATCGGAGAACGAAGGAAAGGTGCACTCGGAGGAATTACGGCAGTACACGTGTTGTGCCCGATATGAGAAGATGATCGATGTCGGATATGGTGAGCATCTAAAACATCAATTATTCTTTAACTATTCTTGCCTTTAATTCTATTATTTAATGTATATATCAATCTAATGTGTATATATATATAAAGAGAGAGAGAGAGAGAGAGAGAGAGAGAGAGAGAGAGAGAGAGAGA